CTGCCCCACGTGACTGCAATCGACTGGTGTTGTCATCTATACAGCCTTACGACTTGGTTAACGTGTTTTTGTTCATGGCGACTCTTTACGCCAACCTCTACAAACTGCTTACAATGAATCTAAAAATGTTCCTCGTTACAGATCTAAGACGTGTACCTCTGATGAAAACGGAACTAACAATAAAATGAGTACCATCCGTCTCAATCTAGCTGAATCAGAAGGAAACTTAGCATCTGATGACTTTACGACTCAGCAATTGAACGATATAATCCTTACGAATGAGATGTATACCCCGACAGTTAACCGCCAAGATAAAACTTCGTTGGCAAACAAAAACCGACTCCAGTGCTGATGATTAACTTTCGCTTTATCTACAGAAGAAATTAGACTAATATTTGAGGTAGGAACTGATTCAGATCTTGGAACAGAACAGTTGGGGATCAATGTTCCAATTTCAAAACAACAAGCTTCTCTAAGAATTGTATCATCTGAAAAGAATTAAGATGCCTACACAAAATAAGGAAGTATATAAGTACTTGAGCTATAAGCTTCAACATAGACAAGGTGCTTTCGGCCAAACTTAATCATCCAACCTAAGTTGATGCGTCGGATTCCCCTGGGAACCAAACTTCATGAGAATTGCAGTCTGCATAACGTATAACCTTATACGTATGCAGCAATATAATTGGGTCATCTTGACAAATGGAAACATGCAAGGTTTTTAGTCGAACGGAAAACCAATTAAAATCACTCAGCGTTTCACTTTTTCACTTTTACAGCCGATGACAACCACCACTTGTTCAGCATTCAGAGTTAGCTTATATATGTCTTAAAGGACAGCAGTATGTTATCCGATTCCGGTAGTATTTACTGTCCTTCCACAAACTGTCATACATGAATTTATGTAGGTATCGTCTACAGAGGAATGGGAGGTGATAAGATGATGGTATGTGAGAAAATTAGATACGGATATCTGAGGAAATGCTGTGGGTGGGTTACTTAACACCATGTTTCCACGACCTGTTAGGCTCCAAGTGTTTACTCGCCGGCCTCTTGAGTCATCTTAAAGCCAAAGATAAAGAAGGTAGTTTTTAGAATAAATACACAGTGAATTACTCTACTATTCTTCTAAAAAATTAGATAGGAAATGGGAATGCACAATCATAGTCAATAAATATTCGGTTCCGCATAAATACTTGGTCCAGCATAAAATATTGGTAATCTGGGTGGGAATATACGCTGTGTAGATATAACACACGCTAAAAGGAACGTAACTTAAGAAGCTGAATTTATCATTTATCCCCATTGGGAGTAGCCGGCGTAAGTGAGTAAATTAACTAGAGATCGTGGTTACCGCCTTTTATATCCCTCAAAAGTGTTCGCTATCGTGAAATAATCAAAACATGAAACAAAAAACAACGAAGATGCTCAAGGCCGGGTCCTAGAATTGAACATTCTTCTTAGAGTCACATACATAATCAAAGTCTTGTGGACTAATCATTTGGTTAAATTAGTATGCATATTATAGGAGGGTGTTTGTACTTCCTTACGTCACTTAAGAACCGGGTTGTTTTCCACTGTACAAGAGTACATATCCTATCAGTCATAATTATCACTAATAGTCTGCAAGTTTAAGAAAAGTTTACGGTTAGGTACAAGAAGTCGTATTTCTATTGGTGGATGATTCACGCGAGTCACGTCCTTGCCTAATTTGTAAGGTCATAACAAATTACGGCGACCTTGAACAAGACATAACAATCGGCGACCGAGATTTTGGTACACAGGAAAATACCCTACAGTCGGTGACGTGATTTTGAAATTAAATAATCCATGATAATTGCCGGTGGTTTTTGGATTTATTATTATTATCATTAGCAGGAAAAGAAAGGCAATTTCTTTAGAACAGTTGCAGTTATTTTTACGGCAGCAGCAGATGTTAGCTATTCATGAGCAACTGGTTCAAACAGTTTTGGGCAAACTTTCCACTGCACCAGAGATTTCAGAAAATAAAGGTGCTATTTATGACACAGACAATGGTGCAGTAATGGACGTTTCAGAAATATACCCTTCGGAGGGTTCGAGTCCCCTTAAAACTGAAGCAAAATGTAAAATTGGTAAATTGGCCGGCTCACAGTAAGACAATATTTTGATAAAAGTACAGGATTTTGTGACAGTATCAGATGATCAAGAAAGAGAAGATTCTGTAGATAAAGCCCTGAGTCCAGAATCAAATGAAGCACCATTGACTCCGCCCATCTCTGAAGACAAAGCTACGGGTTACGTGATATTGGTCAAGAAAGCTGGAGGGACGCATATCCAGAAAATAAATGGTACAGTACGATGGATCCAATTGTGTCAAAAGTAACTAGAAATCATTGGGAGACAGAAGCTTATGGTAAACCAGCTTCGTATACGATTTTTCATTTTACGATTTTTCACTTTACCGGATACGGGTTCACATAATGACGAACATAATTTTGACGAAGTTTCGTATAAAATGAGAAAAATAAGTCGGCTGAATCACATGGTGTTCAAAAATCTAATGCCATTTTCTTAGATGCTGATTCCCCTAGTTACCGAATATCCGCTAGTGAAATTCTTAATGAATGTGTTAGAAAAGTTTCAGAAGAGCCAAATTCTGATGACATAAAATCAATTGTCGTTCATCATCATCTAGTCATTTCCAGTGGATTCTCTATTCAATGCGAGAAATATGTTTTAAATAAATTCATATTAATTGTAAATTGGAGATATGAGGATCCAACATTATTTCGTGGGAGAGGAAAATGTTGGAGAATTTCAAGTTAAAGACAATTTTTTAAAATCAGAACATAATCTTCGAATATTCAAAAAAGAAAAGGGGAGGTGTTATATATTAGGGAAGAAGTAAGTACGAATAACTTAGGGAACCTATTATTGGACTATTATTCTATGTAAATTCCTATTGTATAACTGTTCAGTAACTAGATTATCTATATCTATATTCATCTTATTACATGCTTCATTTTGACATATTGATTATTATTATATGATTTACTGTTCCTAAGTTATACTGAGTTTATTGATTATTGACTCCCACGCTCACAGCGCATTTGGCTTAATTTTGTACAAATATTATTTTCTATTTTATGGTGTGATGTGGTCTGCCTGTCTGGTATATAAACAAAGTATGCTTGAAATAAACTATTCGTGTACATTCGCATAACAGAAGCTGCTATTGGTGTTTTGGACTCAAGTAGACGGGCTAGGCGGATTAAGGACCAATGAGGACGCAAGATTACTCATACTGATTGGACGTCCCTGATTGTCACCTTATTAAGATAGGAGAAGTCGTATTTCTATTGGTGGATGATTCACGCGAGTTACGTCCTTATTTAATTTGTAAGGTCATAACAAATTAGCGACGACCTTGATCAAGTGATAGCAACAAGGTTTCTAGAACATTTGAAAGACTGTTGTATACAGGGGATTTTCCAAGCCCTTATTTTTATCACATTCTCAGCACTTTTATCATTACGTCGAAAAAAATGAAATGCTAAAAAGTTGTTTTTTAAACACCCCTATATATATTTGTGATTTTGTCTAACACGAAACCTTTATATGTCAAGTTCTTTACTCTGCTAGATGGTATATATGCCGATTTTTTTGGACTTCTTGAGTCCTTATGTAAGTATTAGTGTATCTCGACATGCAATTGTATTTTTAATTCTCTCCTTTCTAAGGCAGCCAGACAAGATGAACTCTGACGACAGATACGATGAACCGAAATTTCCGTCGTACATTTTTTGATCGTTATGTTGTACCATATGTCTGTTTATATTGAAGAAGGATGACCAGATGCTACTGGCCAGTGTTCGCCAACAACACTCGGTTAAACATATGACTGAGAACGCCTTAGGTTGTCGACCCCCCACAACAGGGCATTGAGATATGACGGCAAATACATCCAAATAATGAATGTTCTAGTACGTCTACAAATTGATGCTGAGGTCACCAGTTTTGCCGAACAAATATAACCAAGGCGCCCTGTCAAGGATCCAAACAAGGTCATAGTCAGGCCACCGTTCTATGCATTCCTTGCAACTGCTAGTATGCTTAAACCAAACTTTTTTCGACATAATGATAACTTTAAAAATAAATCTTTTAGCTTCATTCCTGACTTCTGATTTGACTGGGCTGCTATCTTACGTTAATAAGGGAGTTGCAGATAAGGAGTGGGAGAAATCAGAATACCTGTATTATTTTTAGATGTGATCTGTATTGTTCATAGTTATCTTAAATCTAGCAGACCAGTGACACAAACTAAGTCACATTGAAGAGGTGTACCTGACTAAAAATGTTAGTACCAAAATAGTAATAAGGTTGCTGTAGACATCATGGCGATCAATAATGACATGCAAAATCACAAATACACATATAAAATTAATAAAAATTAATTGTATAGCCAATTGAAAGCTTGTTCAGACTTTTTGGGCACGTCATCTACAACTGTTAGCGTAACAACTAGATAATTGAGAACTAGAAGTGTGAGGGCAGCGGTGTATCTGTAAAGGGCAGTGTGTCGTGCAAGCAGAGAATAAAACGGCGATGGAAAACTGGAGCTTGATGTTAGGCAGCAAACTTATAGTCAATAGGAGCGACTGTACAAATTAGCTGTGGTCACCATAAGTATGAATAAATGTAACTTACCAATCCCCTTTATTATCAGACAGATACCTTTTACCCTTAGTTTCTAGAAAGAAATTGACATGAACGACTCCAACTGCTCAGGAAACCATTAGGTTTTGAGAAACAATCAGTACACTAACTCAGGTAAGCAAAATCGAGATTGCCATTCAGTTCGTACGACTGCAGGGAAACAGTGATCACACTATATTGTACTTCAGTTTTATAATGCAGGGTAATTCCGCCTAACTGTATACAGCGCAGATTTTCCTGATAATCAGCGATCTAGCTATCCCTCTAATTTATTTGGGTAATGTAAATCCATTGACCTCTTTGACCTTCGCGTGCGCGGTGAACTAGATTATTTATGCATGACTCTTAAGTCTCCAGCTTATCTGTGTTTCGTAAATATTTCACAGGGATGGTTGGTGGCTATACAGTCCTGCGCGAAAAGTCAGAAAAGACTATCAGATACAAGACTCCCAGAGGTAAAGAGGTTTGTTTGACAAGAGAAGTCTATCTTCGGGACGACATACCATGCAGAAGTTTGTCGTGCTCTCAGGTTGAGTGCCACCAAGGTAGTTTTAAGTCATATTCGATAATCTCAGGTGGACATTGCTTACCAAGAGACTTGGAAACGTACATTTTAATCGATGGATTTTATGCTCTCAACTACTGGGAACTATTTGAGCTTGAAGATATAAAGGGTGTTATTGTTTCACTGTCGTCAGTAAATTTTGTATGGTGTTATACTTTAGTGATTTAATGTCTCCAGGTTCAGCAACAGGCCTCAACGAAACGCCCATATAAGAGAATTCGTTCAAGTCTTGAAGATGCCAGCCAAACATGCATTTTATTTGATAACGAGTTTAATCGCTCCTGTTTTCGTCCTCCTTTTGCGGACGAGAGCCTTAAAGATTACACAACAAGGTTAGAGCAGTTTGTGTTAAACATTTCCACAGAATGAATTGGGTTGCTGCTAACTGGTACATAAATCACTTGAAAGGCCACGTGTCATTAGTTTTCGTAACAGATAACGAGAGTTATGTCCACACTTATTCATCTGAAACAAACACCACATCTTGCAAATTAACTGTAAGTTATCATATCAGTTTTTTGTTAATTCATGAACAGTCACGAGGCAAATTCAATTACATATTGATCCAGGTTTTTAGGGATAGTCATATCACAGAGGAAAATGCTTTACTGCTTTCACGGCTAATCATCAGATGCTCTCCTTAACTGTAATAGTACCAATTCTTATAAGTAATTCTAGTTTGTGACCCGAACCCCACCTCCCTCTTTGTTTCGAAATTTTATTAATTCAATCTAGACAAAAGATATCGGAATTGAACCTAAGGGTTTTAAGCAGTTGACTTTACTATCTGTAAATCAAAATGCATCTACAGATTTATCAGAAAATAAGGAATTTATCCGTGGAATCTTGTTCTGCGTTATATCGTCATTTAATGTTTCTTGTATTTCTCAGCTTGTCCTCTCAACAAAATTTAAAACATAGAATGCTCACTCGTTTAGCTCGTTTCTTAACCTTGGGACTCGACACTCTTCCAATGGTCTGGATATTAGCCTGTATGTAGACGTCAAAGTGGGTGTTCAGATTTTGAGTAAAGTTAGAATTAATCCAGATACGTGGTCCAACCTTTTTGACACATGAATGATTAGTCATAACGTCTGGAGTTAATAACATACTTTTCGAAAATTCCATTCGGTATTGCACTTTATTACCGAAAACACCTTTCATCATTGTCCTAGGTTATGATCCACTGTCAGGTATACAAATTATTCCATACTATTTGCTGAAATTCAAGGTAAAATTTGTCTATAAACCAAAGGCTGTATAATCAGTTTATCATAGGTCTGCACGCAATTTCTTGTATGTTGTAAGCTCTAACCAATGAGAATGCTTCAAGTTAAAGTACAAATCCGCTTAAGAACTTCGTAATTCAGTACCGTTTTCTGTTTTGGTTTCTATAACAACTTTTCTAAATGACTTATTATATCATTCCCTATCTCCCGTCAGGTAGGTAGTGACTGGGGACACTATTGTATATTCACTACCTTGTTTGTAACACTTTCTATATATAAATGTACACGTATTCACCTTAAGCTCAGGATATTAGTGATCTTTGGAAGAATTTATGGTCTAATATTTGAATTCTTGCTTATTCGCTTCAAAAACCATACCCATACATCAGATTCAAGTGTAATGTCTTTTTACGAGTAGTTTTTTATAGACAAAATTCAGTGCCATTTTATAACGTGGCATTAACCAAAGCAGGGCTGATTTATGATAACTTGGTGCACATGGGCTCCAGTATCCTGAAAGAACAAATGACACATGAACCAATTGTTGGTCACCGGCTACCATGGGACTGCATCTCCCACGATGCTCCACTGTCTTGTGGATCAGACCTTTAGGTCAAAAACTCCGGGTGTGGCCCCCTAAGAGAACCACCTGCTTCGGTTTGAGCACCCGGGCAGTATCACAGCCCACACACAAATGAAATGACATTCTACTGACAATATTACTCCCGCTTCTACTAGAAACAAGGCAATTTACATTATTATTATCATTATGATTACTTTTATTATTATTATTATATCGCTAATTCACTCCCTTTTATTCTCAATTTGTGTACCCTTACTTTTCAACTTATGCAGCAGCTCGCCTATGGTGGAAACTCTGTTCTGTCTAATTAATCTCCAGTCACTGTCTGGTCGAAAGTGAATGCTTCCACCGATTACGAATACTGAAGCAGTCTTTCTGAAACCACGTACGCCGTTCAAGCTGGCTTCCTTCAACGTTCGCACACTAATGCAGATCAGACGACAGATGGGGCTGGCTTTGTCTTTATAAAGTCTTAATGTTGATGTTTGCTGTCTATCCGAGACCCGTATTCAAGACTCTCAGTCAGTCAGTTACAACGTAGAACTTCGTACGTACGTACATCAGTTCGAGTTGCCATACCACATTAGCACAGAGATTAAGTTGTCGATTCAAATCTCATAATGATAGAAGTAGTAAGAGTATAAGCAGTAATCGGAAAGATTAGGGTTTGAAGATGTTATTGAAGGAGTATAATAAAATGAAATAAATTTGGAAAGAGAAAAAGGATACAGACATAAAGAATTCAGATTAGAATTTGGTAGAACACAAAGGGTGGATGCACCTTCTCCATTGCAAACGATTTTGAGCCATGTCATTCAAGGTCTCTAACCATCGATTGCTATCATCTCGCGAACCTCAACCACGTAGTCTACACCTACCAACATGGCCCAGTTCACTTGTCAGTGACTTCATGGATTCAAGACTAGTGAAGTACTACAAATTTGCTCTCTATCTGTCGCCTCGAAAAACTTTTTTCACGTGCGCTTATCCGGGGACCCTGTGGCATCCTCGTCTGGTCTTGCTGGCGTTGGTGTCGCACTAAGCTCTAGATCTGAGGCAGCATTAATCGATTGGATCTCCATTAACAGTCGGTTAAGTGCTGTTAGATCAGAAAGTTCCATCAAAGTGAGAAGAAATCGGCGTAAGAAACGGTGTCTTTCCGTCATCTCTGCCTATGCCCCAACAGATTGCAGCCCGGATGCAATCAAGGATGAGTTTTACCACCAGTTAACTGTTCTTCTCCAGAAAGCGCGTTCGGCAGATATTGTAGTATTAGCCAGAGACTTGAATGCTCAGGTCGGGCGTCTAGACACAGAAGAGAGTCGTTTAGGTGACCTATGGGGACTTGTTGGTCGCAGGACAGATAACGGGGACCGTTTGCTGCAACTGTGCACAGACTACAACCTGTTTCTGGCTAGCACTAACTTCCGACACAGTCATCGCTGGTGTGCCACCTGGCGTCCTCCCTCTGCATCTCAAGCTAGCTTCTAGGCTAGCTACTATCCCACCGAAAAGTATAGATGAGCATTGTCTGCATCTTCATGGGTTTCTTCTGGCTCCTTGAAACTGATCGAAGCCCGTCGGTCTACTCTGGGTGACCGCGAGTATGACCACAAATGAAGGCTGTTACGTAGTGAAATTGGGCAAAGCTTGTGTAATGACCTAGAAACCTGGTGGTCGGAGTGTGCTAATGAGATGGAAGCAGCAGCTGCATCTGGTAACTACCGGAAGATGTTCCAACTCATCCGAGCCACTGGCAGCAAGAAGTCTGGTGTGAGTGAAACAATGATGGGATGCCAATTACTAACATCTCCCGACGTCTTGGACGATGAGCGGAATTTTCCGAAGGGCAGTTCAACTGGCCTGCTGCTCCGGCAACATCGACCAGTTTGTCCTGCCCCCCATGGCCGGTGAGGACTGATCCACCAAACGAGGCGGAATTCCGCAAGGAACTCCAACTCCTGAAGCGCTACAAATCACTGGGCCCATATGACTTACCTCCGGCTTTTTTCAAAGACGGTGGTGACTTTCTGACTAAGGATCTGACGGTGTTGTTTGCAAAGGTTTGGGAGCTAGAAAGTGTTCCAACATCATGGAATGAGTCAATAGTCGTCCCTATCTTTAAAAAGGGTTTACGTTGTTCCTGTAACAATTATCGGGGGATAAGTCTACTTCCGATTGCGTCCAAACTATTGGCTTCTATCATTCTTCGTAGGTTGTTTAAAACCTGAGAACGATTGACTCGCGAGGAGCAGGCTGGTTTTCGTTCTGGTAGGGAATGTATTGATCATATCTTCACCCTCCGTCAAATGTTAGAACACCGTCATACTTATCGCAGGCCAACAATCCTAGTGTTTCTTGATATCAGGGCCGCCTTCGATTCGTTGGACAAGATTGTTCTCTGGGATTGTCTATTAAAGAGGGGCGTGCCTGAGAAGTTCATTAACATCTTAAAGGCCCCGTATACAAACACCTCAGGCAGAGTAAGGGCATACAACCACCTTTATCCATTGTTCCATTCAAGCAGTAGAGTTAAGCAGGGTTGCCCAATCTCACCATTCCTCGTCAACTTTGCCATCGATGACATTCTGGAAACAGCTCTGATGAATGTAAGTAATGGCGTGGGTCTGCTGTCTGGAGAACGACTTCTCGACCTTGAGTATGCGGATGATATTGTCTTACTGTGCGATAATGCCCAAGGCATGCAATCCGCACTTAATCAGTTGGCAATCAGTGTCCGTAGGTACGGCATGTGCTTTGTACCTTCGAAGTGCAAAGTATTCCTACAAGACTGGCAGGATTCTAATCCTGTACTCATCCTGGATGGTGAGCAGATTGAAGTAGTTGAGAAGTTCGTGTATCTAGGTAGCTATATAAGTGCTGGCGGTGGCGTGAGCGATGAGATCGATGCACGTATAATGAAAGCCAGAGCGGCTTATGCCAATCTGGGCCATCTTTGGCGCCTTCGTGATGTCAGTCTGGCTGTAAAAGTTCGGATCTACAACGCGTCAGTGAGAGCAGTTTTGCTGTATGCTTGTGAAACCTGGCCTCTCCGAGTTGAGGATGTTAGACGACTCTCTGTGTTCGATCATCGTTGTCTCCGAAGGATTGCTGACATCCAGTAGCAACACCATGTTAGTAATACAGAGGTTCGGCATCGTGTGTTCGCGCGCAGAGACGATAATTCAATTGGTATCACCATCTTGAAACACCGACTTCGGTGGCTTGGACATGTTTTACGAATGTCGTCCCAGAGACTTCCACGTCGTGCATTATTTGCCGACTCTGGGACTGGTTGGAAGAAGACAAGAGGAGGTCAGTGTATGACATGGTGTCGTGGCATGAAAGAAAGCCGCAAAGGGCTAGCTTCTGTTGGTCCTTCACGACTCCCTGGCTGGGGTCCGAGAGATGGTGCAACACAGTGGCTAGAGACGTTATCAGATATGGCTCAGAATAGGAGCCAGTGGCGATCCTGCTGTAACTTTCTTTTACTTTCTACATAAAGAGTGGATCTAACTTTATTAACTGAAAGAGTTGTTCTGGTTGTACATTTCAGTCCCCCCCATCATTACTCTTTTCTTTTTTTCCTTTATATATACGCATATTCCCCCTTTCTCCTCCTATTCTCATTATTTTATGTGGCGCATATGTATCCGGTGCCCTTTGTACCAATATGTATGTGATTAAATAAATAAATGATAACTCGTCTGTTGAAGGACACTATCTTCAGATACAACACACAAAGAAAGAAATCATAGATTCTGTTCACTAAGTTTAGATGTATTTCAATTGCATTTAGCTATTGACTCTTAATACACTTTTCTTGTAAGGGTTACTTCACTATGGTTTTGTATTCATTAATAACTACTTAGTTAATAGGCCTCCGTAACCAATAATTACTGAATTAATACATAACCGAGTCATTTTGCGTTTACAATTAATCCCCATTGATTTTGTTCAATAAACTTTAACGAAGTTTTTGCTTCAGCGTAGCGATGAGGAGACAGCTAGTAGAGCTGTTAAATATGGTATCGCAGTTGTATTTGGAGTTATCACCGTTTATCCTGCACGTTCAACACCACTACTTGCTTCTTGTTGATCAAAATTAGAGTCACTATTATTTTCCAACTCATACTGTTCCGGAGCGGAGAACAACTATCCGATTACAGAAGGACAGTTCACTTTCCAACCACTACTATGGTCTCCGACTTTAAAAGCATTTTAAATCAGTTCTAATTTTTAAAAACTTGTAACATTAGCCTCCAGATAGCTCTTTAATGACTAAGCAACTCTATCGTCAGCTTCTTCTACTTGTTTTCTTTCCAGTCACAGAGTAAAATCTGGCTCACATACATCCCTCTAAGTTGCTCGGTCGTTTATCAAGATCGTTGCCTTAGGGAAAATCATTAAAAATCTCCGTTATGTAATTCAGAAGAATATATACAAACAAACAATATTACCCCTGATTAGAGGAGGCAAAAATTTATCCCTTTCCTTAAACAATAAACAAACTAATCATATTCTTCAACCAGCAGGTACCTGCATATATTTACTTACACTAGCTATGATTTTAATTTTATGAATGTATTTGTTTCAGGTCTTGGATTTACCAGGGTTTTTACAGATATACTACCCTACGCTCACAACCGCCAAACTTTTGTTTGATTCTTTGGATGTATCACTTCGTTCTATTCAATCCAAAGACCACAATTTACCAGAGCTCTCAAAATCAGAAAACCCTTCAGAGTCTTTGGACTCGTACACCATGCCTTCAGGTCAGTTCGGGCTTAGTTTTCATATTATTATCAAAAACGAAAATATGATTAGTCAGGATAAGCAAGGTCAAATTATTCAGCTAAGATCTAGGAGAGCTAGTTTTCTGGTTATCCTTGGAAGCAAATTATATAGTTGTTCAACTACAAACTTCAGTCGTTCACGTCTTCCAGTAAAATCGTGTGTTATACGTGTTTCTCGGTATTTTTATTTTTCATCCAGCGAGTGAGCATCACGTTTAGAGTTACCTTTTCTCAGTATAAGTATTTTTTATTTCCAGTGCCTTCTGTCGGTCACGTATATCCAGAGTATTTACCTGAATCGGCTTTAGCTGCCGGTTTACGATCTGGACAATTTTTGAAGGGTATTCTCCACGTGTCGCGTTTTCGACCGACTACTGAGGCTATGGTAGCCTTAACAGAGTAAGCTCAAAACAATTAAATCATGTTTTATTAAACCCAAAACAATCTGTTATCGTTTTTAATGATCAATTGTGTTGACCGATTTAAACCATGTTCTAGAATCCGGATTTTAGATAAATTTACAAACTCAAATACATATTATACTTTCATATTTATTCTTGAATCATTTGAAGATATTCAATTTTTGTCAATCACTTTTAGTGCTAGTGCAGTAAAGCACCAACCAGAACTTAAAGAAGCGTTGGCAGCACGGAGTGAGATTATGATTCACGGGCTACAACATCGTAATCGTGCTGTTGATGGAGATGTAGTCGTAGTACGTCTTTTGCCCCGCGTTCATTGGAAAACTGTTTCATCCGATATTAGTGCTCAAGAAAACTGTGAGTTAATCTGTATTTTGTATTGACATGTTTTGAATTCAATTATGTTTGCTGTATTGGCTCACTAATGTTTAGATGAAATAGCCTTTTACTGGTGAAAGTAATGCTAATATCTAAAACATTTTCCAGATTCCCTTATGAGTTTCAGCTTTGAATTTATTTTTCCAGAGGAATCGCAATTTAGTTTCACAACTAAGGGTAAAAATTAATTTTCTACATGGTAACATTATGTAATATACACCAGAAGAGTGAACAGGTCGATCCTCATGTTTAATGTACAGTTATGTCCGTATACCTATGCAAAAAATATTGGATCATTCGAGGTCGTTTCTAGTGATAATGATAAGATATTAGAAACAGATTGATATTACAACGACTAGTTTAGTAGTAACGATAGTGGAAGCAGTAGTATTAGTGGTAGAATAAGTATTATCATTAGTATTATTATTGTTAATATTAATAGTACAAAAATAAATGAAGATCAAAACAAGTTCCATTTTCCCAACATCACAGTAAAATGAAGGAGGGATGACAAGGTCCTACATTCAGTTTATAGGAAAGACATGGTATGGGGAGCGTCAGTTCCCTCAAGATTACAGGTACACCTTGCTGACGAGTGCCAAGTAGCACGAAACCCGGGTCCAGGGTTTCCTGTTGACCACCTCCAACCACCATGTTACCCTAATATATATAGTGCCCGCAGTGTCGAGCCACCTAGACTGGTGGCCACATTGCAACTTGATCGATAGCATTCGATCAGCACTAAGGACCTGACACGCATGAGATTGATCACCACCCAGTGATCAATCAATTGTGATTAGATCTCAGTCCTACAGGAGGTCGGTCGCGGCCCGAATAGCTCAGTGGTAACGTCTCTGACTGTGAAGCTGAGTGACGCGGGATCGAATCCGCCAGGGAGCGTCAGTTCCCTCAAGATTACAGGTACACCTTGCTGACGAGTGCCAAGTAGCACGAAACCCGGGTCCAGGGTTTCCTGTTGACCACCTCCAACCACCATGTTACCCTGGTATGGGGTTTATCTCCATTTCAAAAGCTGTTGCCCACTCAGTTACAAAATGGCACTGGTTAAAACACTATTTCACGGAACAGAAGGAATATGTACTGTTGATACACTAAAGGAGGAAGTAATGAATGTTGAAAGGGTGTTTAAAGAACAACGGATACCCATTGTAATTTATGGGGAAATATACAAAAGATGGAAACACAAAACCCAAAGAAACCACAGTAAACGAAAAAACCTATTCTTATTCAACTCAAATCCAAAGGTGATTATCTGACAGGGTCAATCAATATGTGACCGAAAACTCCATTGGCAAAAACTTAAAGCTAAACTAATCGTTTTGTCAAAAACAACATATTCCTCAACACAATCAAAGATCGATAGGTATCCCTTTCATGTTACCACTAACGGTGACTACATATCTACGTGTATATGCCAAAGCAGATGAATTGGTAGGACAGAAAATAGAGTCTACGCCCGATTCAGAGAACATATTTCAAAAAGTCTAAGGTCCAGTGAAATAAGTCAGTCAGCCACAACGTAGAACTTCGTATGTACATACATCAGTTCAAGTTTCCATACCACTTTAGAACAGAGATGCAGTTGTCGATTCAAATCCCATAGTGGTAGAATTAGTAAGAGTATAAGCAGTGATTCAAAAGATTAGGGTTTGAAGATGTTATTGAAAGAGTATAATACAGTGAAATAAATTTGAAAAGAGAAAAAGGAAAGGGACATGAAGAATTCAGAAGATTAGAATTTGGTAGAACACAAAGAGTGGATGCACCTTCTCCATTGCAAACGATTTTGAGCCATGTCATTCAAGGTCTCTAACCATCGATTGCTATCATCTCGCGAATCCCAACCAAGTAGTCTACACCTACCAACATGACCCAGTCCACTTGTCAGTGACTTCATGGATTTGTGCCACGTTTTGGTCTGGCCGCCCCTAGCTTTCTTCCAACCTACTCCTACACCATAAAGCATTGCACGTCGGAGCAGTCGGTGGTTGGGCATACGTAACACAATCCCAGCCATCTCAACTGATGAAGTTTCACTGCTTCATCAATCGATTTGCCATCCCTACCTAGTACCCGTTTCCTAACATCTTCATTACTTACTCGGTTGTCCCAGGATATACGAGTATTGCTTCGAAGACACCTGTGATCGAATACTAGCTTCAGTAATACTTGGACGCCTAACCAAAGCTCGTGAAGAGCAGACTAAAGAAAACCAGGCTGGTTTTCGACCTGGACGTGGTTGTATAGACCAGATATTCACTCTACGTCAGGTCTTAGAACATAGACATACATTCAGACGTCCCACAATGGTAGTATTTCTGACCTTAAGGCGGCATTTGTCTCCGTTGAGCGTGAGGTTCTATGGCAGTGTTTGTCAGTGAAAGGAGTGCCAAAGAAGTACATTAACCTCATAAAGGCTCTCTACTCGAACACAACTGGTCGAGTTAGAGCCTATGGCGAACACTCATCAGAATTGGTTACCTCAAGTGGCGTTCGTCAGGGCTGTCCACTCTCCCCATTCTTGTTTAACTTTGTCATTGACATGCTTTTAGACATAACACTTTCATCATCCCAATCTCCTGGAGTTGAACTTTTACCAGGAGGCTCACTTGTTGACTTAGAATACGCCGACGACATAGTTTTATTCGGTGAAGACTCTGACAAAATGCAGAGTCTTCTGACCACTATAAGCAACAATGCAGGCATGTTCGGGATGCGATTCTCTCCCTCGAAGTGCAAAATGTTACTTCAGGATTGGGTTGCATCGACACCTGAACTAATGATAGGGAGTGAAGTAGTTGAGCGTGTAGACCACTTCACTTATCTTGGGAGTCTGATCAGCCCTTGTGGTCTGGTATGTGACGAAATCACAGCACGGATACAGAAGGTTCGTCTAGCTTTCGCCAACTTGCGCCATTTATTGCGTAGGCGAAATATCCGTCTAGCAACCAAAGGACGGGTTTACTGTGCAGCTGTTCGTTCCGTCCTACTTTATGGCAGTGAAACATGGCCGATAAGAGTAGAGGACATTCGTAGGCTACTAGTATTCGATCATAGGTGTCTTCGAAGCATTGCTCGTATAGTGAAACTTCATCAGTTGAGATGGCTGGGATTGTGTTACGTATGCCCAACCACCGACTGCTCCGACGTGCAATGCTTTATGGTGTAGGAGTAGGTTGGAAGAAAGCTAGGGGCGGCCAGACCAAAACGTGGCACAAATCCATGAAGTCACTGACAAGTGGACTGGGTCATGTTGGTAGGTGTAGACTACTTGGTTGGGATTCGCGAGATGATAGCAATCGATGGTTAGAGACCTTGAATGACATGGCTCAAAATCGTTTGCAATGGAGAAGGTGCATCCACTCTTTGTGTTCTACCAAATTCTAATCTTCTGAATTCTTCATGTCCCTTTCCTTTTTCTCTTTTCAAATTTATTTCACTGTATTATACTCTTTCAATAACATCTTCAAACCCTAATCTTTCGAATCACTGCTTATACTCTTACTAATTCTACCACTATGGGATTTGAATCGACAACTGCATCTCTGTGCTATTTATTTATTTAAACACATATATATTGGTACAAAAGGGCACCAGATACATATGCGCCACACAAAATAATGAAAGTAGGAAGAGAAGGGATGAAAAGATAAGGCGGACTAAAATGTCCAACCAGAAGACTTTTTCAGTTAATAAAGTTAGATCCGCTCTTTATGTAGAAAGTAAAAGAAAGTTACAGCAGGATCGCCACTGGCTCCTATTCTGAGCCATATCTGATAACGTCTCTAGCCACTGTGTTGCACCATCTCTCGGATCCCAGCCAGGGAGTCGTGAAGGACCAACAGAAGCTAGCCCTTTGCGGCTTTCTTTCATGCCACGACACCATGTCATACACTGACCTCCTCTTGTCTTCTTCCAACCAGTCCCAGAGTCGGCAAATAATGCACGACGTGGAAGTCTCTGGGACGACATTCGTAAAACATGTCCAAGCCACCGAAGTCGGTGTTTCAAGATGGTGATACCAATTGAATTATCGTCTCTGCGCGCGAACACACGATGCCGAACCTCTGTATTACTAACATGGTGTTGCTACTGGATGTCAGCAATCCTTCGGAGACAACGATGATCGAACACAGAGAGTCGTCTAACATCCTCAACTCGGAGAGGCCAGGTTTCACAAGCATACAGCAAAACTGCTCTCACTGACGCGTTGTAGATCCGAACTTTTACAGCCAGACTGACATCACGAAGGCGCCAAAGATGGCTCAGATTGGCATAAGCCGCTTTGGCTTTCATTATACGTGCATCGATCTCATCGCTCACGCCACCGCCAGCACTTATATAGCTACCTAGATACACGAACTTCTCAACTACTTCAATCTGCTCACCATCCAGGATGAGTACAGGATTAGAATCCTGCCAGTCTTGTAGGAATACTTTGCACTTCGAAGGTACAAAGCACATGCCGTACCTACGGACACTGATTGCCAACTGATTAAGTGCGGATTGCATGCCTTGGGCATTATCGCACAGTAAGACAATATCATCCGCATACTCAAGGTCGAGAAGTCGTTCTCCAGACAGCAGACCCACGCCATTACTTATATTCATCAGAGCTGTTTCCAGAATGTCATCGATGGCAAAGTTGACGAGGAATGGTGAGATTGGGCAACCCTGCTTAACTCTACTGCTTGAATGGAACAATGGATAAAGGTGGTTGTGTGAGGGAAACTTGAACTGATGTATGTACATACGAAGTTTTACGTTGTGACTGACTGACTGAAGCTAATATTTTAGACACTATATTAGTCAAACTGATCCCTCTGTGATTCTTCCGAGAGGACTTTTGTCCTTTCTTACAGACTGGCACAATCAGTGATTGAGACCAGTCCGATGAAATTACGTTTAGTTCTGAGATTCTACCTAAGATCTCAGTCAATCTCGCTGCTAATACTGAACCGCCATCCTTCAAAACTCAGGAGCAAATCTGTCAGAGTCTGCTGCTCTCCCTCGTTTCAAATTTCCCATAGCTTTTGCAACTTCGTAAGGAGTTGGCGGACCTACATTAACTTCCCATTCAAGTCGACTGGGTATCGTGGGAAAATGAAGTGTGTCTGAAAGCCAGTTTAACTTATCCCTAAAGTATTCTGCTCATCGATCCAATCTCCTGGATTGAGAGTGAATAATATGTCCATCTTTTCCGAGATAGTTTCGCTAACAGTCAGCAGTACGACTTCGCATTCAGACCTTGAGTTGCTGCTTTTAGTCTTATCGTTCTCCAATCGACCTGCCTGGCATTTTAGAACATGCAGGAACATATGTTCCAGCTAATATATCTCAGTTGGGTCATCACGTTAGGCAAGCCCGACCACGGCATCAAGGTAGCAGCTACGGTCTGGCAGATGGAATAAAAGCATTCAGCAACGCAGCCTCGAGACATCTCATTGACCCAGGACATCAATTGGCTATATTGAAGTTTTTTGAGATAATTAATGAACAATCGAACTTCAATCTTCTGAAATTTTCCAAAGCATAAGTGTTCAAACGTCCAAAACCAGATCTTTGTCCAAGACGAAACAGTGATAAATCTTTCTTTGCCCTGGTAACACTGCATCCTTTTTGATGCATCATTGATAATTTCAACTTCTAAACTTTTGGCTGAATCATTGTCATTTTCTTTAATTCATAATTGACTGACTTCAACTCGTATCCTTTTTTATTAACATTAATATGTTTTCAGTTACTTCATTACACAATCACCTAATTTTTGTTAACTCTGTGATTTCTAATCACTATTACGATGTTTTGGAACTTTTCATTTCACACTTTATTTATTTGTCTGATACAATAAGTTTTTGTAACCTTATTAACTCTACTGGTATCTTCGATACATCATGATGTACATACTCATTTCTAATCACCTTCGTATTTCTAAGTATGTTAATATTTGTTATAGCTTTGATTTTAGAATATCATAGGTTGGAAGCATTTGATGAAAACCTAACAAAATAAAATGAATTCATATTATTCTGAACCAATCTTTGTTTTCTTTAAAAGGTTCCAGAAATGTAGAAAAGTTAGAATAACTGTTCTAGGAGTTTAGAAAAAGTAACTATTATAATAAACAAAATAAACGTTTCTTGTTTATGCCAGCACTTTAAAATATTACACCATATGCTTAGAAATTATTAGACATAGGACTGTCTAGTGAATATTAAGAAGTAGTATAAAATAGTACACTGTAAACCAGTTGAATTAAGAGCGAGGACAGTCGGAGAGTGTAAAAAAAATTTAAGTGCGGGTATGCAAAACGTAAACAAACATAAAGTCAGTTAGTTATGATCAATGTAAGATTTGGTACAATCAGTTATCTGTTCAAGTTGTTGCGTCTCACGTTAATACAACGAAAAGAAAGATTAAAAAGATGTAAAATCCAGGAAACGGTTTTATCTTAACCACAAGGGAAATCTAAACACTAAATGTTCAATACAAACGGAATATATGAAATTGAATAAGAGCTGGGAAGAGAAGTTGAATCCATATTGAGGAGACGACAGAAAATGAACACACTTGCACCACTATGACCGGTTTTACATCATGTCACCATACATCTCCAATCATTGATCACTACTGTACGGGTTCCTCCAACAAAACCTGGACTATTCATTATTCTTATTGGTCCACTTCAATTTAAAATAAAAGTTTAATTCTCGTAAATTTCTGTTTACAACTTTTCACATGTTCCATAAATTTATTTTATTGATTTCTTTTCTAGGTGCAGCTGAATTTGTAAATGATTTATCAAATATGTCTGGAAGTAAACCTAATGAGGATTGTTTTAAGTCAGAAACAATATCACGAAGTCTACCTTGTGGCTTTGTTGTTGGTGTTATCAGTCGTAATTGGCGTGATTATGTTTGTACATATGTTCCTAAATCTACTGAAAATTCATTAGATTCAAAAAGTGAAAGTGGATGGATAATAGTTACTCCATGGGATCGTCGTATTCCTCTCATTCGACTGCATACTACACAAATTTCCAAGTTAACTCGTGAACGGTGAGTAATGCACACAAAATTCTTACTAGCGTGTAATTTCATACTTAACTGTAAAATTTTACCATACTTTATTGGTTTTACTATTCATGATTGACCAATAAATATTCAGAAAGTATGTTTGGTCGTAATTATAATATATATGACTTTCAAGTGTTGAGTGAGCCTATGCACATTATCTTCCCGTACTTTTAGTAATTGGAATAATTGTCTTTGCTTCCTTCCTTTCAACGTTTTGAGTGTCAGGTCTAAGTTGGTTTTTATAAAATGTGTGTAACAGATAAAATTATGACCAAATAAGTCATTTTTATTAATGTTATTTTGGATTGGTAGACTATTGTCTTTATTCGAAGCTGTATAGATGCTTCTAGTAGTCAAATAACCTGCAAGTTCGATTTTCTTACACTTATTACATGTAATTTTCTGACATTTATGTGAACGACATCTATCGAAACATTTTGGAATAGGTTTCGCAAGATGGGTTGTCTGTGGTGGTTTATGTTTGAGTTATTTTGTTTTTGTATATAGACGCTACAGGTTTGATGATAATAGTGGTCATTTCAATTGTATTCTTCACTATGATCCCTTCTATTGTAAAGTTATGTGAACACTGCTTTTTTCTTAATTTTGAATTTTTTGTTCTCTGCCCAACAATCAACTGACTAAAGATGTTTTCCTATGATTGTAGTTTTATAGTACGAATCGATACATGGGACTCGTATTCAGCTTATCCAAGTGGTCATTTTGTTCAAACTCTAGGATGTATTGGCGATTTGGAAACAGAAACACAAACGATACTAATTGAACATAATTTAGTTATTCGAAATTTTACTGATGCACAGGTATACTGATTACTTGATTTCGATTAGTGTTATATGTCACTGTCACTACTCATCTTTTTGTTTACTGTCAATTGGGTGTTATTTTAATGATTAAATAATCATTCAAATATTACTGTATCCACTTTTCTAATGATAGTCGTGAATTGAATTAATGCATAAAAGTTCATCATATATTGTTTCTCAACAACATGAAAATGGAAGGTATATCTCAAAAGTTGTCTAAATGACTATAAATAACATAGAAAATACTTGTAACTTGAATAGTTATTGCCTTTGTGATAACAAGTGTCTTACTGTTGACATACAGTGTGTTCATTAGATATCACTGACTGATGATTAGTAATTGTTAAAAGTTGTACTTCACTATTCCATTCGATATCATATTGTATTATTCGTCTCAGGTTTCTCTAGACAGTTGAACAGTATTCATCAGTATCCGTTTCATTGACTATTTCGTATTCTCACTAATAAATAAATAAATACACCTAGTATTTTCTGTAACAGTTGAAATATCTGTCATGTTCTATATCATTCAGCTGGCTTCAAAACACTTCATTGTTTTACCAGAAAATCTCACAAGTATACGTTTTTTGCGAATTCCGTTAGCTTTCATCTGACTGTAGATAAAATAAAATTCAGACGGCGAAACTCCATCTTTGCAGTCAAATTCTAAACTTTTCAAGATAAAACTTTGGTTGATATATTTTTTATGTCAAGTTTCCGTGTGTTTCAGGTAGTAATTTTCACTATCAAACTTGCTTTTCTAATGAGCTGGAAACAATACAGAAAACCTTATCCAAGTTCCTTAGTCGTGTTCCTGAAGTTTTATAATAGTCAGTCTAGGCTTAACAAACTTACCATGATTGCTACCAATATTATTTTAAATCTACATGCGTTTTTCGTATGCGGACACAGCACTTTTTCAATTTCACTTGTCCGATGCACAAACATAGATGTGATTTTTGCGCACTTGTCCGATGCACAAACATAGACGTGATTTTTGCGCACCTTCCTTTTGTTGTTAACGTAATAATTTCACTATTTTCTCGAACGTTAAATCAAATTTTTCATTCAACTAATCTTTTTCTATTTATTTATTATATTTATATACATACTCACCCTGAAATTTCGTAATAGCTGAGTGAATTAGCACCACTAAGTGTCCAACGCCCTTGGAAAGTTGATCTGGAAGAAGTAAAGAAACGTCGAGATCTTCGGTCGCCCACTATTTCAGGAAATCCAGACTCCGAAGATATACTTATCTTTAGTATTGATCCTCCAGGATGTCAAGATGTAGATGATGCTCTGTCCGTTCAATGGTTACCACCTAACGTCGATGAATATGGGAAAGAACATAAACGTTTGCAGCTGGGAGTACACATAGCTGATGTTAGTTATTTTGTTCCGTCTGGTAGTTATATTGATAGTGAAGCTCGAAGACGTTCAACCAGTATTTATTTAGCTGATCGTCGGTATGACATGTTACCGGGTTTGTTAAGCGGAGACTTATGCTCTCTATGGAGCGGGCGTGATCGGTAAGCATTCTGTCCTTATTTTCGACACAGCTGTTATTATATTTTTGTTGACCCACAGAAATTGGAGTACTAATGTTATCAAACTACTTATTATCCCTTCGATACAACTTAAGGTACTGTTTGTTTTGATTTTCGATTAGTTAAATACAAATATATCCTCTTTCTAGCCTCTGCCAAACCGAAAGACATCTAACACAATATGTAGTGAAGAGATCAACGAAAAGTGATTTTCGCGAATTATAAGTGCTTATAAATATGTTTACGGCTTTCTTGGAAGTATGGTAAAGATTGTTTAGACAATAAGTAATAAGAAACAGGTATCCTCAACTGAGGCAAAAGCAGATGGCAAGACTTGGAAGCTTAAGTTTATCTAAACAGAAATTATAGCATCAAAATAATAAAATGTTAATTTTAAGAAACTTCTCAAGGATTTAGGTATTTTTAACAACGTTAAATAATTAAATACTCATAAGAAACGTGGTATTTTTTCTAACCACTGGTCAGGTTATAAGTTACTTCATTCATTTGTTAGATGAAATTGCTCAGTACAACAGAGCACCATAAATGCCTCATGCAAAATCAAGTAACAGTATTCTGAAGAAATAAAAAATGAAGGAAAAACGCCAAACACTGAGGGGTACAGTTTAAGTGAAAAATTGCATAAAACCTGTTCGGGCCAACAAATCCTGCATTTTAAGATCATATCATCAATTCATTCCTCTTCTTTACCGTACAAAGACAGGGGTTACTAAACCTCAGTATTGCCTATTATTAACGGGACATAGATTGGATTAATGCACATTGCGTGCCCGATTGTGTTGGCTATTTCTTATCGAATCAGCACTACTTGGAGAAAACTCTAAAATCTTCTCATGTAAAAACTATAAATATACTAACGTTTCTCTTATTGTGCTTCTTACTTTCATTTACCCTTGTTATTTGGAATATAGTTTCGTTCCTGTTCAATCGTGTTCTGAATTGTGAACTTGTGGAATGAATTGGTGTCCAAGAATACTAAGCAATAGGAATAGCTGGGTCGTAATAAGAGAAATTATAGCACATAAACAACGTTGCTACTGGCAGCATGCAGTTTTTCGACGAAAACTGTGATGCGACATCTTGTTGTCGGAAACCTTCAGTTTAATGTTCCTTCACACCCTACTATGATCGACATTTAATTAAATGTAGATATCGAAAGTATCTACCCCGGGGTCCGATTATATTGGGTCTTTGTGAAAGCAAGATATACTCCAATTAATGTTTTTTTTAATGAATTCTGCCTTCGCAGAGATAGTGTTACACAAATTTGACTCTAAGTACAACACCTCCATCTTCGAAGTTGCTGTTTTTTAGCGTTGTAATCTGTGTCAGTTATATTCCAAAATACAGATTATTGGAAATGCTTCTAACACGGCAGTCCATATAATGCGACTAGATAAATCTAGTACTAATAAACAGCAATACTTCAGAAATAAAAGCCAAATGAGAGTAAGAAGAGGGGAGACAGCTTTTACATCTCGAGAAAAAACAATGAGTAGACATCGAAGCCTATAAAGTATTTCCCAAGGTGGTAACTAATATGAATAGGTATTGATTACTTGACCTATTCATGTCACAATAATACTAAGGTTGGAAAGTTAATAATAACAATGGTTTCTGTAGTTACCTCATTAGGTCCTCAGGCTTGTTGGTTTGGCGTTGTCAGTATGATTAATTCAAATATTAGGTAAAGCCTTGGAGTCTGAACGTTCCGAAAGCTAATCGCTACAGCTTACATAAACAAAACTGCTCTTATGATAACCACAAAAATTAGTTTGAAAGATATATTGTCTAAGATGAATTAACCTGCCCAGTGTGTGATGCCATCAGTCTATCTTTCACATAAGTTTATTCGTGCTTTTAAAAAAAATATTTTTTGTCGCGTATTTGTTTGAACAAGAACAAATAAATTTCCACATGTTTGGCGAACTTACGAGGTCGGCACTACGATGAAGCAAACAGAAATGGATATTTGTAAAAATAATGTGGTTAATTGTTGTGACCTGTCGTAGTTATCGATTTATATCCTGTTTTCTTCATACTATATGTATAAGATTTGATGTGTGTACACTCGAGTTGATTTAGAGTGTTCTATTTTTTTATGTCCTTGAAGTATATATAGATATATATCAGTGAGTCGACTGTAACTTTTGTGGTCTATTTGATCGTCTACAGACGGAAATGATCTAGTGGTTTGTAGATTTTTCTTTCTACAACTTTTAGCTATGCTGTTAGCGTATTATGGGAAATAGATATGGATTCATTCGATATCTCAAATATATGGTATGGTCGTACGGTAATCCATTCAAGCTATAAGTTAACCTATGAACTTGCTCAACGCATATATGACTCAGTCACTGCAGATAACATATCATCGAATAGCTGTGCAGTGGAAGAGTTTATTAAGAAGTCAGGTGGATTGGAAGCTGCTAAAAATGATATACCTGAATTAAGAGATTTAAACCGGGTAAATTTTATGTTTTATAATATGTACCTGTTACATTCATTTTAGTGTATTTATTGATCTTTTTCGTGCAATATTATAACTTTACACAGGCTTACACTTTGTAATAGCGAGGTTCCTTATTTTATGAAATAATATTTCATTGATATCGCTAGTTGTTTCCATACTTTGTTGAAAATCAAATTCATACCCAACAGTAGTAGGAGATGCGAAAATTTAATAAGTTATAAGTATCAGTCATGTCTATAAACGTATTACAGAGATTGATTTTCTGGTCAAATGAAGGTGGTCGAATAAAAGTCAGAGTCGACTTTGGAGGTATAAAGCATAATACGATTTATTATTGGTTATTTTTATGCACATAAACAACAGATCTTTAACATTACTGGTACTGAGTAATAACTGCAAATTTCTTCATATTATTCCTCAATCTTGATTATACTTTACCAAGGGACCGTGAGTATGATCTAATTGACCAGAAAACAAACCTATTCAATTTCCAGTTTACTATGATAGAAACTAGTCATTGAGACCCAGCAAGATGTAAATGACTTCAAGGCGAATATAGAAAATAAGCTAGGAATAAATGAATGTGGTGGCGCTAATACACTACTTGAATAATAAATACATATCATGTGACTGAACACCAATTCAAAAGCATTACAAACATCAAACTTCTGTAACAATTTGGAAGAAGACAAACTTTTTATAAACGATTTAAATGTTTGCTTCCATCCTATTTAATGTCGTGGATGCGTACTGTTGAGTTGATTTATTTATTTAGACAGATAAATATTGGTACAAGGAAGCACCAGATACATATGCGCCATACAAATCTCATTCGATTTGTGTGAGGGCTGTGATACTGCCAAGGTGCCCAGACTGAACCTGGTGGTTTTCTTAGAGGGCCACACACGGAGCCTTTGACCTGAAGGTCTAGTCCACAAAGCAGTGGAGCATCATAAGGAGATGCAGTCCCATGGTAATCGGTGATCAATGATTGGTTCATACGCCATTTGTTCCTTCAGTATACTGCAGCCCATGTGCACTATTGGTTTGGAATCAGGGTTTTCCAACTCCCCTAGATGGACTCGCCGTGTCCACCAACCCGGTTAAAGCGCCGGACATTCGCTTTTCGTCCTCTCAATTTCGTAAACAACAGTAGTGTCACGAGAAGCCAGTGAGTAGGACTTCCCTGGCAGAGGCTATATATTCGCGTGGCCATGTGAGAGCATTTCGAGAGGGAGAGCGAACTCTCCCCACTCTCGGCCGTACCAGGGCATTTGGGGGGCCTTTTCAATGCGGATGAATCTTTTGCCTTTTCATTATTAAATGTTTTAAACTCTGAAAGTCCGTTACAGAGAGGTACATATGCTATAAAGTTATATTTTCTTAAGTTATAAAGATATATAATATAGTTTAAAGTAAAAAAACTTGTACTACATTTATTAGGTTCTATTATCCCACTTATTTCGTTTTTTCCTTCAGTACATAAAATTATATACATTTCCTATATAAACTGTCTTATAATATTCTTCAATTATGTGTTTAAAAATATTTGCATGATTCGCAATGTTTGTCCCAATGTCAACAAATTGAGTTTCTTTATGTATCGTTCAAGTTAACTTATAACGAATCAAGCATCATTTGTATCTATGCAATATGGTTTTGAAAACTATCCCTTTTGATCAAGTTTATTTAAACTAAATTACTATATTTAAGTATTCATTAATGTTTTCATATTGGTCTTTCAGAATTATTCAAAGGTAATGATGATACAAAATTAGACTTAAACTTTTCATGTATGAATAGTTTTGTTGATTTATGTCATTATTTCATAGTAATGATTTATTTTTAAAACAATTATCAAAGGATGAATGTTTAACTGCTTTGGATAAGCTTAGTAAATCTATATTATTATTGGTTGATATTGCCTCTAATGTTCGTGAACGTCGACTTGCCAAAGGAGGTTTAGAACTTGAAAGTGTAGAAGTTAGTGTTCAGTTTGCTAATCCTGAAACACGTACTGGAAAACTAGAGGACTTGATTCCAAAAGAGGTATGTTTTTAAGAAACTTAAAACCTTAGATTATTCAACATATATGTACTTTAGATGCTTCATAATACACGTATTTTTTTGTTTCATTTGATTGGTGTGTCTTGTTATTTAGAGATGTTATTATTCCATGTATTTTTATCTTAGTCGAACTGATCCATTCGAAATTAAAACTTTAAAGGTCAAATAATATTTTTGCAAAAGGATAAGCAAATTACAAGAAACATACAGTCTGCTCACAGCATGTTACTTTACCTAGATTGATTATAACCTCCAGTAACCTAACGTATTTTAGATTTTCCTGCTTCATAGTAAAATGCTACTGATCAAGCCTGTCATGTAAAGTTTATACTGTTTTGAAACTGCCACTAACTTTTTTACTGTGAGTAGAGAAGTTTTGAATTTAGTTATATTGCGATACTCCTTACTAACTGCATTGGACTTTAGAAATTCCTTACTGTTATTGTGATAAAGAAATTAATAATCTCATACTGTTATCTCCTGATAACAAATAGACCATGAGTTTTATCTAAAAGATCCAAAGTGAATAAATCCATAATACGTTTGTAATGGTAATAATGTTCGCTCAACGGTTGAAAGAAGAGAGAATAATAACTACGCTACTCTTAAAAAGTTTAAGTCCTGTTATTTTGTATTTTCAACTATCGACTTATCCTTCAAAAACTCTTATTTATATCGAGAATCTGCATGTATCTTTCGGGAAACCTATTGATGAGTTGAGCAGCCTTATGTAAATCACCTAGCTGTTATTGTTTACAAGTTTCAAAATAAATTATAATATACGATATAAGTTTGGCTACTACTGTTATGGTTTTCATCATTAATGAAATCTCCTGCATCTTAATTACCACGAGTCATTATTGTGAAATATATGTTCTAACTTTATAGCGATATTTTGCCTGGTACTACCGTCCATCGAGATTTCAGTATTGTAAGATACTGATATTCTTTCAAGATAAATTGTGGTTAATAGAGATCTGAGGGTGTGAGTTTCAGGGATTGATGATAATGTATAACTACGTAACTTGTGGTTTCTCTATCCAATTTAAAAAATATCTAATTTTTAGATGATGGACTTGACTAATACGCTGTCTTATTAAGAATAACTAATTGCAAAAGCTGAATCTATTTTCGCTTTTTGTTAAAGTCTGTATTTATTCTAATTTTGAAATAGCCCCTTGAAATGCACAATACAGTTGCCGAGCTAATGATATTTGCAAACCATTGGGTTGCACGTCGATGTGTAGAATATTATCCTGATCGCGCTTGTCTACGTCGACATCCACCTCCGCGTCCGGAATATTTCGATGAACTTAAACGCTGTATAGCTTGTCGAGGCTTTGTTTTAGACACAAGTTCCAATCTTTCATTAGCGAATTCCTTAAAAAATGCATCAGATCCTAATGATCCTGAGGTAAGATTAATATACAGGGAGTTTTTTTGATATAATAAATGATCCATTTTATTACGTGTGTTTTTAATTTTCCTCTAAGGTGTTTATTTAGATTTTCTTAACTGATTGCATCGCATATGCTATTTATTTGTTGTGATTATCTTTCTGGTGAAGTGATGTATTACACATATCAATTGATTTATGCCATAAAATTACGCGTTAGTTACAACATGGAAATCATTTGTATACTTATAACTGGTTCGCAATTCTGTATGACTAAATTGATGTTCTTTAGCGTCTTTGTAGATTATATAGAAGTTTTTACCAATTCCTATCGAGTAGCGTGACAAACATACACATAATTTTCGAATTATTTTGATACGTTTTCTTAGATTGCTCTCGATAAATTCGAAGAACTGAATTTCATATACCTTACACGTTAGGTCTGAGACTAGAACTGTGCATAAATATGTTAACTAAAATATTATCTCACTTTAATACGTTTTCGTTTAGCTAAAGTTGCTTCCAGATAAAGGCAAGCTTTTCTAGTATTTCATTACATGAGAAAATGAATGCCGTCCATTTGAGTTATTCATTCCGATTTTTTCTGATTGTTATGTATATAAATAGGTTAACAAGGTGGTACGTCAACTTGTTACACGTACAATGACAAATGCACTATATTTCTCAACGGGTTCATCAAATATGACACAAGATCAGTTTTCCCATTATGGTTTAGCCCTTAATTTGTATACACATTTCACATCACCCATACGACGTTACGCTGATATAATTGTAAGTTTTTGGATTATTTACACTATCTGACTCAACTTATTTTATTGCAAATTGATTGACTGAATCATTTCCAAAATTTTGATGTGATACTCTGCAGTTTCCACTAAATACGATCTATTAATTTCATTTGTCAGTTATTCTGTTAGCGTAGAGTTTTGATTTTCTCAAACATGTTAGTAAATAACAAAAAAAACTGGTTTTCATATTGTTCTCTTTTTTGTGTTTTGTTTATGACCATATATTCCATTGGCTACCATTCAGTCACTGTTCGATTTAAATGGATTCCAGCTTTTTTCTTGAAAAAAGTCCAAAAATGCATTTCAATCATTATGGTAATATTTATTCATAGTCTGCTTGCAAGCCGGTTAAACTGTTATCGAGTTATCACTCATAAAACTTAATCAGCCGAGAGCTTGTGATAAATGTACGTCAACCTGAGTTATCATACCATATCAGTACAACGAAATCAAATCAACATTATGAGTAGAAAATATTTCGATATGGTATTATCAATAAAATGGCAAAAGATTAAACTTTTCAGATTGCATTTCGAAAATATGGGCTCAATCGAGAAAAAAAGTGTGAATATTAAAGTTCAAGACTTGATAGCAGATAAAGATTAAATGGATCTCTCATTGTGGCTGATTCGAGATCATATCATTAACCTTATCCAATCACTGATTGTAGTTATCGTGCTAAACACAACCAGATATTTTGCACTTATCAATATGGCTCTGTCTGATGACATATGTGGAAAACAGTGAAAATAGAAAAGGAGGTCTGTTAGTTAAATTAGAAGAAATATTAGGGAGTGAAGGAGGTATTTGGTTGTGAACAAGACTCAGTTATATTTTTTTAAAGGTATAATGGCATTTCTTACTTCGCAGTTTCGCATAATGTAAAAGGAAATTTCGTTTTGAGCAAGTTGAATTAAGTCCTGGATCATTTAAGAGCGATGAATACATTCTGGTAATGTGACTTCACAGCATCACACATGAGCTTCCGTGAGTCGTTTCATCTCAAATTGGGTTCTCCTTGCTTAGGTTTGTTTTTTATCATGGATCATACCATTGCATCTACTCCCTTAATATGGATTTTATTAAATTTATCATGGTTTGTTTATCTGGTTTGAAACACAGTTTGTATCAAGTTCTAGGTTATTTATAGCTGATTAATTATTAGTGGCTGTAATACTAGTACAAATCGAACTTGATTCTGACGGCAATTTCTTATAGTTTCCGAATTCTTTACATAACTATCTTTCATCCAATTGCTGAATGCTATTGGTATATGAAATTCACGTTGGCGTTCACTAAATTAAATTTGTTTGGTAAAACAGTTATATCAAAATAAGAAAATCCAGTAGTTTCATTTCATCATTGAGAAAATGATTCTGAAATGTGTTCATTGTTATATAAGTGTTAATTAACTTTCGTTATTACTTAAACATTATCCCTTACTTAAATAAAGGAGTCATAAGAGATATTATAATAAAAGCGAAGTGAAATTATTTATAGTATTATATGGTTCTTATTTTTGTTGAATACAGGTTCATCGTCTTCTGCTTGCTTCATTAGGAGACTTCAGGTCACTGACAACAACACAAAGTGAACTCAACTCGAAAAATACTGAGTTAGTCACAATTTTAGAAAATAATACTGATGGGTTATTTTCTTCTGAAGAATTAGCTTCTATTTGCAATCATATGAATGAACAACACTGGGCTGCTCAACAAGTTCAACGATCCAGTTTAGAATTATTTCAAGCTTTGTTCTTTAAAGATAAAGCAGTTGATGATCCATCTCGATATACTGAAGGAATCATTTGTCAGTTGAGAGGCACCAATGGATTTATTGCCTTTGTTCCCCGGTCAGTATTTGTATACCTAATAGGCATATCCCTATTGTTAGTTTAATCTATTGTATTCTTGTTCTTAGTAGATCGAAGCTTCAATTTTGTCAGTTGTTAATAATTATACAAGATCAGTTCAAAAGTGGCTGTGTAACCAATAAATTGACATGTGCTCACTAGTGACTGGCTTCGTGAGGTAATTCTTGGAGCTCTAGTGAGAAGCCGTGACCCCTGGAGCTAATCCTTGTCAGATAGAGACAGGTATTTACCTCAGATTATGAAAGATGGTCGCGCGATCCTGTAGATTGATTGGATTTAGACATTGACACCGTTTGATGCCGGCTTAGTGGTCTAAAGGTTGAGCGTTTGCGTGTTAAACCGAAGGTTCTCGGTTGGAACCCCACGTACGGGATCGTGCATGAGCATTTCTGAGGAGTCCCATACTACGACGAGACGGCCGTCCAATGCTGCCAGGTTTTCAGTGGTGATCTTGCTTACATCGATTCATGATGTCAGTCAAAAACTTAACAATCTCCATAACCTCCTATTGGAAATTCGGAATATCTAAAAAATATTAAATCATATAGTAGTTGTCAGTAAATCAAATGAAAGTTTATGACAAAAGGAATATGAATATACATATAATCTAGTTATTTAATAGTTATCCGATAGGCATATATGTAATAATGGTCCATAAATAATTCCTCGTACTTAACATTCATTTGTTTTTCGTTCCGATATTTGTTACTTTTCCAGATACGGTATCAAAGGTGCAGTTTGCATCAAAAACGCAGACGGTCACATAGCATGGGTTGATTATACAACATCCGATTCTGGTAACATTCTTTGGTTACAAGATGTCCAAGACATAGTGGTATGAAATGTTTTATCATTATATTTTCACTCACACAAACCTCCAGAGTGTTATATAAATTTGGAATACAACTACTGTTATAAACATTAATATACTTGTTATAACGCTAGGGGCTTCTGGTTGTAACAGTCCTTTCACTTCTTACACGTATGTGGGACGTTGATTTACCATAGAAGAATATCTACACTAGATTCCCCACAGTGTCTATTCTACAGGATTTCAACACAACTCAGATCAAGAACACGAGATTAGCCTGACTACAACGTCAATATATTTCCACACCAAAATCCGACACAAAGAACAGTCAATCAATAACTGTCCATACATGATAAAGATAGGGGAATATATATAACACATAAACACCTATCATCCCATCTAATGTCTGACTCATCAAAACAACCAATCATTGCCATTCTTGCCCACACGTCAACTACTTATAACTTTTGTTATTCTACATCATACCTTTTGTTATTAAATGTCTGTTAGAAAATGAAGCAACGCTATGCACTTGATGTAAATTCAAGTCTTCAAATTTATTTTCTAGTAGGAAGGAGTTTCATATTTTTACAAATTGATATCCAAATTATCTTTCGGTACTAAATTATTTCTAGCATAAATGCACAAATGTCTTTCGGTTATCCTTCGTTGTACATGTAGCATATCTTTCGATTGAATTCAATCATTTTCTCTTTCCAGTAGAGAAAGGTCTTTTTAACTCAGGAAATTAATATTTTCATGTAAATTCTTATGCTCGTACAATTCAGTGGCAATTCAGCCAGTGTAACACTAATCGTGATATTATGAAAAACAGTCTAGAACACATTCATGCTATAAATTATCACTGATGTTCTCCACGCGTTCGATAATATTATCAAGACTGAAAGATCAGATATCTAGACTAGACACCTCACTTTACTTTAACGAAATTAACTGATCGTATGGAAAAAGTTAATCACTGAAGTTCTGAGAACTAATGCTTTCTTGTTTGTGAACACTAAGCATGATGAAACAAAAATGTGGTAAACACAGTGAACAGCTCAATATCAGTTCATCTAGTTAAAACCGGTCATTGTGCCAGTACAAACCAATCATCTTCAATCATTAATCAAGTTGGTTATGTTTTATCAAAGTCTATCATACTCAAATTCCTCAAAACAGCAACTGCTATTTGAAATAAAAAACCCATAGTTTCTTTGTATAAAAGAAATATATACAACCCCTTCTTTTAATTTGCCTAACATCAAACCTAGCAAATTCACAGTTATTTTGATTAGAGACTGACCTTATTTAACTAATGTAAATAAAACCTTTTATTTTTGTATTTTTATAATTTCAAAGTCAATTTTAATTAAACATTATTGTCATTGTTATTATTATTCACTTATCATGCTATTATTATCATTATAAACATTATTATTAACCTTACTAAAACATGAATAATTAGAGTGAATAATTGTTTTCACTAACTTCACCAGACTATACTGTTACAGATACAAAATTACTGTTGTATTCTAACATAAAATATTAAATTCATTTAGTATTATTTGTTTGAATCTTCCCATCGATGTGTTAGGACTGCAACTGGTCATTCTCTAATTGGCATATGTGCATACTGTGCGTATTGCCTCGATATAGCCTTAATTCACAAGCATGGTCAGCAAATATGGATAGTGGAATCTATGATACGTGTTTCGTCATATTAGGACTCGTCAGCTGGATGTACCTGCATCTCAGAGTTGAAGTTCACTGTGGGACTCGAACCCAGTATCTTTCGCTTCAAACGCCATCGTGTTATCCAGTCGGCCCATGAGGTTAAATTAATTTAATGCTGACACAATAAATTAAGAATAAGATATCATTTGTTCTCATGTGACTATACATATAATCAAATTAATGATATCTCAGTTGTATATCTAGTTTGTGGTAATTTACGAAAAGATTCCAGATAACGCAAACTCTATACAGCTAAAGCAATTAGCAGCGATCCTGTTATCATTGTAAAAAATATTTTAATCTTAAACTTGATCAATCTTTATAAAATTTATTTGGACGTATAACTGTCGAACGTGATGAAAATTTATTGGAAAGTATATTTTTTTGTCTATATAACTTTTTATTTTTGTGTAAATTGATAAACAATCAAACCATGCAGTATGGTATTTTGTAATTTTCAGCAGTACACTTACATCACCTTATCAAGGATCAAACCCAAAAAGTTCAGTTTTTGAGACATTTTTCTTTTAAAAGCTACTAATGTTGCTTTTGAAAGTAATCGCATATCAGTTGATAAAAACAAAAATGTATCAGTCACTCGGTATCATGGGTTGAATAAAACCAAAAATGGTAACCATTAAATGTCAATTCATTGGATTGGGGCCGAAGGTTCCTAATTTCAATCCCAATCGGGGCTGTAGATCTTTACAAATAAAGACTGTCGCAATAAATGAAGTAGTTTCTGGTATTTTTGGATTTCATTGTTTCTTTAACTAAAATCTACAAATTGAACAAAATCTTCATAAACCTTTTATACCGACTCATAATTTGTTGTTACATGTTTTGTTTCAAAATTATAAGAATAATTTCTTTACGAGATATCCAAGTTTCTTTCTCATGATATTTGATTTTCAGATTGAACGTGTTCATTCATCTGAACGATCAGATTGTGGGGTTTTAGAAATCCGGAACTCTAAAACTAATGAATGTCAACAGTATCGTATGTTCGATCATGTCTTATTAAAAATTAATGTCAGTGAGAGTGTTGCTCATGGACTAAATATACGATTGGAACTTGTGGGTCTTCCAAGAACAAATTATTCTAAAGGTAAACTAGTAAAGGCAAATATAACAACAGAAAATCATTCAGTCTGTACACCGAGCTTGAATACCAATTTGATAAAGGTAAGTAACTGAAAATGTCTTTATTTAACAACATGTTAACTTGAACTTCGATTGTAATTAATGACGTTTTCACAGTACATAATCTAAGTCAGCTCTGTTGGAATACATTTTGTGCTTTTGAAGAAGAGAATATGGTTTTTTATTTTCACTGTTCTTATAAAACCAAATAAAGTTGATTAAACTTTTCTTCACAAAGCTACTGCCTTCATTGTCTGTGCGTCTTTTGTCATACATGTCATCGAAACTAGTTTTCTCATCCTTTAATACTGTCTTATCAAATTTTTTCTAGTTTTCATTCAATTTAATATCAAGAATGAGAGAGACTGTTTAGGTGTTTTTCTGTTCAGTAACAAAATTGTAATAAAAAATTAATGTTAGTAAAGACGGATTAAAATATTGTATAGCATAAAATCATCGTTTTGAACATCAAGCATCATTTTCCTGGAATAATAAATTAGTTTCTTGGAGTAGTAAGAATGTTCACGATATCTATCACAAAAACTTATTCACGCCTCTCAAGTACAGTTCACTACACCGTAATTTCTGCACACTACATATGTGTGATTCATATTTCCAAACAGTCTGTACAGTTATAAACTTTATAACGATTATATAATACAACCATATATTGAAATAATAGTAGTATGGTATACAATGTTGGAAGATATTTATCCGTTTCCACTGTTTTGAATGATGTTGTTTCTGATATTTTGCCATATCATTGAATTCTTTCAGGTTTCCAAATAATGTGCCGTTTGGTCTTGGATGTCGCGTAGTATTTATATGATATACATGCACTGGAGTTTGTTATTGTTTCTTAGTAATAGATGAATGATGAATTCTAGTAATGTTGTTAAACCAGAAGTCTTTCATCAAAGTGATTGATCCAGATATTTAAAAGTATCTCATCTATGATGTTTGATTCCACAGAGTCCCTACAATATTTTTATAATGATCATTCTTTCTTTTAATATGTGACACTAATTTTTTATTATTTTTTTCACGTTATTTAACCAGGATGTACAAGATATAGATGCTGAAAGACGTCAAAAACGTGAAGTGAGTGATCTGGAACATGTTGATGTTTCAAAGCGCAAGCACTTGATTGCTCAATTACATGATTGTTCTTCACTATATCACCGATTTCATAAACTTCTACGTCAGTCTAATGAAGATGAGATGGAAACTAACTGATTTCTATATTTCTTGTCATGCTTCAACTCCATTTAGATTAAAAATAACTATTTTCTGTGAGGTAGAGTGTGACGTGTAATGTAACAATTCCGTTGTATAAATTCACGTGAAATTAGTGCACTATAAGACTTGTTTAGTTGGAGAAGTTATGAATTTCTTTTGCTGTAGAATATCAGACTTCATTTGAAAGATGAATACATTTGACTAAACTCTACTATATTTAACTGTTTTTATCTGCTCTACTGAAAAAAATACATGATTCGTCATGTGCTTAAAAAAAAATCTTGATAAACTCAATATCAAAATTGTACTACCCGCTTTTCAAAATGTTACATAAATTTCAATTTTTGTTCTTGATTCCTTGAGTCCTCCACTCAACTAAGTGAGTAATCCAATTCTCTTAGAATATTTTAATTTTTAGATCTGTTCTCATGCCTTTATAGTATCTCATTTGCACCTACAGAGTGATCTTTTATTTTCTGGTGCATGCTTGGTTTGTTTCTTTGAGACAGTTATCAGTCTGCTACGCTTAATCAATGCAACTGCTGAAACTGTATGACTATTTTCAATCCTTCACATATAACTCACGAATACTAATTCCCATCCCTACTTTTAAGTTATTCATGCCTTTTCAAAGTCATCGATGGTTGGAAGCATAGTGTCAACTACCTATTACATTCAAAAATGAACTTTGGTATAGTTGAAGGACATTTGAATTGTACCTTGAAGTGTTGTGCTCATGGTTTTAATTTCAACTTCTGACAGTAGATGTATATTTTCCGTTGGAATGTAGCTACTGACTGATTTCACCGTGATATATTTGTTGAGTTTATACAGTTATTCGACGTAATCTAATATTGGCTTACCGTATACTCGACAATGATTTTGGTACCGTTACCGCTTATTCTTCCACTTAAGACTGATCATTTAAGAGAATAATACATAAAAGTTTTTGTTTCATTGGCTCGTGAGTTACTACAGTTCTCTACTACATCATATTATAAACTCGTTTGTACATCCAGAGCCGGTAAGACTTCTAACTGTGCTACAAGTCGTACAGACTTATAAAGGTCATCTGACCTTTTATTCTTACCACCAAAGACTATCATCTCATGGTGCACTCGTCAGTATGACGTGGAAGATCATATCAACTTAGAAACGTCAGAAATCTTGAATATTTATTCTGTTAAGCTGAATCAAATATTTACACAAGAGGAATGTACCACCACTACAGTAGCAACTGAAGGTTTGAAGAAGATTCACGTAGCTCCTAGAACTATGTTAGGAAAACTGAAGTTCTTGATGTCAGACAAGTTACTATACTGGCACTATTCATCCAATAGCCCTGAATCAGTGCACTGACCATATATACGGAGATGTGCATGGTTTTCACGCATACATTTGACCACTGGCGTAATTTCTAATTGTGTACAATGTTATTGAACGTCTGAATAATGAAAAAGTAAATTCGTACATAAAACAAACCTTTTTCACTACCTAGTACAATATTCTTCACTAATTACGGAAGATCATATTTTAAAAATATTGTTCGTCTGTGTATAATGACACCTTTTTGTTAATAGGCATAATTGGTTATAGTGTTCTTTATTTATGTGTATCTTGAACGTTTGTAGACGTTTATCCCCACTATGATGTTTGATAGAACAAAGTCATTGAGTTAAAGTTATCTTGTTTTATTTCACTGGTTTCACCACGAAATTATGAAAATTGAGCTCTTAACCATTCAATGGAGACTATGGAATTTTTATTACAATGTGCAACTTCATTTTTCACTTTTCGTTTTGATATGTTCTGCTACACTACTTAGTAGTACCCAGCAGCTGATATTATTTTCAACCACATTTAAGTTCTGTTTGAATCTTTGAATTATAAAAGATAGATGGGATTGGAGTTTTCAAGACGACGTTAGTAAAGTAATTGAACAATATTAGAATACAATACACATCATTCTCATTAGACTTAATATAGACGTTTTGACTGAAAACTTTCATTTATTGTTTTAATAATAAGGACATCCATTTGAACCTATTAACGAAAAAACTTTCGGATGTTTTAAGCATACAGTTATGGAAACTGTTGAGTTTCTTTGGAACTTATCTGAGGTGTTCGACCGTATCGAGTGAGGGGTTGTTTCCCACTGAAAACAATAGAGGGTGCTATCGCAATCAGTCAGCCACAGCGTAGGACCAGGCACATAAATGCACCGGTCTAAGTTGCCATATCTTATCGGCACAACAAAATCAACACCGAATCCATAGAAGCAGTTAAACAGTTACTTACTTACGCCTGTTACCCCTCGTCGAGAAGCATAGGCCGCTCACCAGCATTCTCCATTCAACTCTGTCCTGAGCCTTCCTTTCCAGTTCTTTCCAGTTGCTATTCATCCTTTTCATATCGGCTTCTATTTCCCGGCGTAGTGTGTTCTTTAGCCTTCCTCTTTTCCGCTTCCCTTCCGGATTCCAAGTTAGGGATTGAGTCGTGATGCTGATTGGTGATTTCCTTAATGTATGTCCGATCCACTTCCAACGTCTTTTCCTAATTTCCTCTTCAGCTGGAAGCTGGTTTGTCCTCTCCCATAGAACGCTGTTGCTGATAGTATCCGGCCAATGGGTGTTGAGTATTTTTCGTAAACAACTGTTTATAAATACTTGTACCTTCCTGATGATGGTCGTAGTAGTTCTCCACGTTTCAGCTCCAGACAGTAGGACTGTCTTGACGTTCGTATTGAAGATTCTAACCTTGAAATTAGTTGAGAGTTGTTTTGAGTTCCATATGTTCTTCAATTGTAGAAATGCTGCCCTTGCTTTGCCAATCCTCGCCTTTACATCTGCATCCGATCCTCCTTGTTTATCAACGATGCTCCCCAGGTACTTGAATGTTTCCACCTCTTCCAGAGTTTCGCCGTCAAGTGTGATTGGGTTGGTGTTCTCTGTGTTGCATTTGAGAATCTTGCTTTTTCCTTTGTGAATGTGGAGACCTATCGATGCGGAGGCTGCTGCTACATTTGCTGTCTTCATCTGCATTTGTTCGTGTGTATGAGAGAGGAGGGCTAGGTCATCTGCGAAGTCCAAATCATCTAATTGATTCTGAGCTGTCCATTGTATTCCGTATTTCCCTTCAGATGTCGAATTCTTCATAATCCAGTCAATCACTAGAAGGAAGAGGAATAGGGAGAGTAGACAGCTTTGTCTGACTCCGGTCCTTACTGGAAATGCACCTGTCAGCTGTCCTCCATGCACCACTTTGTACTGTAATCCATCGTATGAGTTTTGGATAATGTTGACGATCTTCTGAGGAACTCCATAGTGTCGAAGAAGTTTCCATAATGTTCTCCTGTCCACGCTGTCAAACGCCTTCTCATAGTCAATGAAGTTGACGTATAGTGATGAGTTCCACTCAACTGATTGTTCAACGATGATCCGTAGTGTCGCAATCTGGTCTGTGCACGACCGATCCTTACGGAATCCAGCCTGATGATCCCTAAATTCGGCGTCTACTGCGTCTTTCATCCGATTCAGCAGCACTCTGTTGAAAACTTTTCCTGGTACTGATAACAAACTGATGCCTCTGTAGTTCTCACATTGGCTCAGATCTCCTTTCTTTGGTATCTTGATGAGATATCCTTCTTTCCAGTCCGTTGGCACTTGTTCCTCTTCCCAAATCCTTTTGAATAGAAGGTGAAGCATGTTTGCAGTTATTTCAATGTCTGACTTCGGTGCTTCTGCTGGTATATTGTCAGGTCCTGCCGCCTTCCCACTTTTGATTTGTCTGATGGCCATCTTGACTTCTTCGATCGTTGGTGGAGTGATATCTATTGGAAGGTCTGTGTGGGCTGCTTCGATGTTCGGTGGATTCAATGGGGCTGGTCTATTCAGTAGTTTCTCGAAGTATTCTGCCCATCTTTTCTTCTGTTCTTGAATCTCAGTGATTGTCTTTCCTTCTTTGTCCTTGACTGGTCTCTCTGGCTTGCTGTATCTCCCTGCCAATTTCTTCGTTGTATCATATAGTTGTTTCATATTCCCTTCTCTTGCAGCTTTTTCCGCCGTCGTTGCTAGTTCTCCCATGTATTTCTGCTTGTCGGCTTTAATGCTTTTCTTCACTTCTCTGTTTGCTTCTGCGTAGTGTGCTTGTGCTTTGACTTCCTCTGCTCGTGTTCGGCTGTTGTTAATTGCTAGTCTCTTGTTCTTCCTTTCTTGAATTTTGTCCAGGGTTCCCATAGAGATCCATTCCTTGTGATGATGCTTCTTAGGACCAAGAACCTCCTGACACGTTGAAGTTAGTGCTTCATTGATCCCTTTACAGTTGTCCTCCAAAGTAGTTTCTTGTTCTTTCAGTAGATCCTGTACAGCTTGGAACCTATTGTTGAGAGTTATTTTGAATTCATGGAGCTTGTCAATATCTCGAACGAAGGCTGTATGGAACCTTTGTAGTGCTGTTTGTCCAGTTTTCCAGTCTTTCTTAAGCTTCAGTCTCATCTTGGCCACAACCAGGTGGTGATCTGAAGCTATGTCAGCTCCTCTCCGGGTTCTCACATCTTCCATTGATCTTCGGAATTTTTTGTTGATACAGATGTGATCTATCTGGTTCTCTGAGGTTTGGTTCGATGAGATCCATGTTGCTTTGTGTATGCGTTTGTGTGGGAATATTGTGCCGCCTATAACCAATTTGTTGAATGCACATAGGTTTGCAAGTCTCTCCCCATTTTCATTTCTTTCTCCTAGTCCGTGTCGTCCGATTATATCTTCATATCCTGTGTTGTCCACTCCAACTTTAGCATTTAGATCTCCCATCGGGATGGTGAGGTCCTTACTTGAGCACTTTGCTACAATTGATTGCAGCCTTTCATAGAACTGATCTTTATCATCGTCGTTGCTATCATTGGTGGGTGCATAACATTGGATAACGTTCATTGTGACCCCTTGCTTCTTCGTTCTGAATGATGCTTTGATTATCCTGGGTCCATGAGATTCCCATCCCACAAGTGCATTTCTTGCTTTTTTGGACAGCATTAGAGCAACTCCCTGAGTGTGTGGAGCATTTTCCCCTTCGTGACCGGAGTACAGCAGCATCTCTCCTGTACCTAGCCTTTGTTGTCCAGTTTGTGTCCAATGGGTTTCGCTGATTCCGAGTACTGCCAAGTTGTATCTCCGTATTTCCATTGCTATTTGGCTGGTCTTTCCTGTCTCCCACATTGTCCGGACGTTCCATGTACCCATAAAGAGTGTTGCTCTGGTTGTTAGAAGGTGCATCGGTCTCGTGACTTCCGAAGAATTTCGGCTTTCATTATGAGACGTCATAATTATTCTTTCAACTCCCAGGTCAGAGTTTAAATGGTTTGAATTATTATTTTTTCTGGTTAGCGTTTTTTTAGCGAGTTAGCTTTTCTACGGGATGGGGTCGCTAACCCCATGCCCAACCCTCCTCCTTTACCCGGGCTTGGGACCGGCGGTAACTCTGGAAGAGCTACAGGCGGAGTTAGTTAAACAGTGGTAATACATAAAAGAAAGATTGTACATAAGGATATAGTACAGGAAGAAAGATATAATAATATATTCTGAAAACATTATTTACAGAATTCACACCAGTTTACAGGCATGATCAGATTGTTATAAAAATCAACATTTAATGTAGAGAGCAAACATAAAATATAAGAAAGTTTATGTTTGCTGGTTTACTAATTGATAAATAGTTTATATATGGCAGGCCAATGCAACACCAGGGAACTTGTCATTTTTTCATAAGTGGATAGCCTGATGTTCTATAAGGTTATGAAGCGATTCTAATCACAGTTTAGTGTAAGACAGAGTGTATATACCTACGTCATTGTATTCAATCCTGAGTCATGTCACGATAGTCACACAGACCCCAACCAAGTAGTCTGCATCTGCCAACATGGCTCAGACTGGAGGTTAGTGAAATCAAGAACCGATGCCACGTTTTAGTTTTTCCATCCCTAACTTTCTTTCAACCAACCTCAATACTAGTCAGCATAGCGCGTCGTGGTAATCGTTGTTCAGTCATGCGTAACACGTGGGTCAACCACTTCAGTAAATGAAGATTCACAACGTCATCGACTGATTTACCATCATTATCTAATACCCTGTGTTTAACCTCACGAATACTTACCCGGATGATCGCAGCAGATGCGAGCAACATTTCTACGATCAAGTTGTTTCAAGCTGTAGGTCTTTGATGAAGTTAAACAAGAATGGAGATAGTGTACAGACTTGTCGGACACCACTTGAAGTTTCAAAAGTTCGCCTAAGCTCTCATTCGACTGGTATTGTTTGAGTAAAAAGCCTTCACGATGTTAACGTACTTCTGAGGTACGCCTTTCGATGGCAGACCCTGCAACACATTCTCTGGGTCAACAGAGTCAAATGATGTTTTTGCGTCAAGAAAGACCATCATTTGGGGACGCCAATCAACATGTCTGTGTTCTAAAACCTGACGAGTAGTGAATATGTGGTCGATGCAGCCACGACCAGGTCTGAAAGCAGCCCGATTTTCTCGTGTTTGCAGTTCACGAGTCTTAGTTTTGCGCCCGATAAGTATTGAAGTCAGTATTCTAGATGATATATTAGTCAGACTAATCACTGTATGGTCAATTTATTCCGGCCGTTGTTATTACAGGATGATTTTGACAGCATCTTAGATATTGAGACGACCAGAGATTTTTTCCAGTCAAATGGGATTACGTTGAACTCCCAGGTTTTCACTAAAATATTGGTCAACGTAATAGTTAAAATCGGACCATGGTATTATTTAAAGACCTTTGGAAACAGTTCATCTGGACCAGATGTTCCCCCTTTTTCAGATTAGCTATAGCCTTTTGTTTCATTCAGACTGTTTTGGAATGGTGGGTAACTGTAGGGTAGCTGAATGCTATCTGAACTGCCTCCTTAAGTCTTCCGCCCATTATTCTAAACGTCTGACCTGAGAGCGGATGAGATTCTCATCTTTTTCTGAGATTGTCTCTCTATCAATCCACCTCTTTATTCCGGTTTCTTTAGCCTGAAGACTTGTCTGATTTTCGTACGGCCGCTGCCCCTTTCCATCTCATTTGCCTCGTCGCCCACCAGTCCTCACGAGCTTTTCGTAGACCTTTGGTTAACCTGGATCCAGCAGGAAACTTCTAGAATTCTCAGTCGGTTTTCAACGGAAAACATAACCCGAATTTCCCAAGTCGTCGACAACCATCCGGAATCCCATAGTATGTTCGGTGCGACTGTGGTACCAACTTCAATAAACGTTGACGAATGTGTACAGGTTGCAAGCGAAACACGACATAACGATGTCAAACGGAATCTTCCCCCCATCAAAGTAGTTGAGAAATCGAAGACTGATCACAGCGACAGGTCAGTTATTTTACATAGAATCAAGGTGAGTGAAAGCTCTGAACCGAAAGCTAGTTTCGAGCATGACATTGTGTTGATAATGCAACTACTTAATCAAGTTATTCCTTAAAATGTCTCCGTTGTCACCTTGCTAAAGGTGCATAGACTTGGTTGCTTGGCGAATGCGAAGTCTAATCAATCCAGACTGCTTAAAGTAGTATTCAAGCCTACTCATGAACGTGACCTCATTTTACGAAATATACATAAATTAAACGGTTCAGGCGATTTTATCCCTTAGGTCATACAGCTGACCAATCGTGTAAAAAGACAGGAAGCCGTAAGAAGAACTGCAGCTTAGTTTAGATGCTGGCGAAAAAGACTTAAAAATTGTATATTTTCGGGTCTTGAGGCTCCGAAAGAGAATGATGCCGAAGCCATTCTGGGTGAAGCTCGAGGCCATTTAAATGGGCTTGGGATCTGTTACACCCATGGTAGACTGTGGAAATCTGTGGACTGAATCGTCAGATAATTCCTTCGAGGATGAACTAGTTGATGCGGTTATCACATGTGCCCTAGTTCAACATGTGAAAGAAGCGACTAGGTACAAGGAGCTGCTTAAGTACTTTGAAGAAAACCGGATCCTTAGGGAGAAGTAGCACGGTTTTAGAACAGGTTTTTCTTGTCTCACTAGCTTATCAGTCACTCTTGAAAGCTAGTGCGCTCTTAAGGACCAAAAGTTACCTGTAGACGTAGCCTACATCGACCTCCCTCGTCTACTATCGTCATCGGTTTTGCTATATGCTGACGATATCAAGATATGGAGAGCAATACAAGTAAGGGTGATAGCTTTGAACTCCAAAACGATCTGGAGAAATTATCTGAATGATCCCAAATCTAGCAGTTGCCGATAAATACATTCAAAGGTATTGTGATGCATATCGGTCATCAAGGTACAGATACATTCACGATGAATAACACTGAACTACCTATTGTCCAGACACACAATGACTTAGAAGTCATCGTTAGTCAAGACTTAAACACTACTGCACAATGTCATGCAATACTCGCCAAAGGTTTTAGAGCTTTATGGTCAATACGTTGGGCTTATATTCATCTCGACGCTTTTGAAGTTTTTGACTTCGCATACAGTTTTCGTGCGTCCTGAACTTGAGTGCTGAATACAAGCGGCTAGTCCCTGCTTAAAAAGGACATTGAAGTTTTAGAAAGGGTTCAGAGAAAGGCAACTTAGCTGATTCCTGGAATAGCAAAGCTTCTGTATGATGATTGATTGACCAAGCTATACCTATTTCCGCGGTCATATCGAAGAACAAGATGCGACATGATTGCAGTTTTCAAATTGCTTAGTGAAGAATTCGCACCTGATTTTCCCTCATTTTTCTTGTCTTCCAAAACAGAAAACTTACGAGGACACTCCAAAAAGTTCATAAGCCTAAGACAAATTACATGTCAGTTGACAGTCAACTTTCCCATCGAATCATCAATGAGTGGAACTCATTACCCCAGCAAGTGGTTGAGGCTCCATCCCTCGACTCTTTCAAAAGAAAGCTGGATCAACTGAGTGACTATTATCGCCAAGACTAACACAAGCCTTCAAGTCTCCTGTCATTTCAAAACTGTAACTGGAAATGTTATACCGTAATTTTTTCTATCGTCAACTAGTTAGTGTTAATATTGTATTCTCAGATAGAAAAGTAAAAAGGCACCTCAATACACAGACACAGATAATGAGGAATGAATGGCATACTTATTTTTTCAAGCAAAGTTGACGTTGTTATTGGATTTCCGAGTGAATCTGGAACGAAATTTAAAATTAACGTTGCCGTCCTTGGAATGACGTCTGGAACTGTTAGTATCAAAGAGCTGACTATCCCACAGCTTCAAGATCTTTCACGGCAATTCGAGCAGAAAGTTCAATTTATATCTGCTTCTATACAGCAACTCAAGTCTCTACAGGCTCAGTTCGTTGCCTCCAAAAATTGTCTGGTCGAGCTTAACCCAGAAAGAGAAAATACAGATATTCTTGTCCCTTTAACTTCAACCTTGTGTGTTCCTGGGAAACTTTCTGATGCTTCGCATGTGCTTGTGGATATTGGAACTGGGTACTATGTTGAAATGGTTTGTTGAATTTATTAACGACACATTACATAACTCTTACAGACCGTCCCAGAAGCTGAAAGCCACTTTTGCCGTCGAGTAGAATATATCAATAAACAAATAAGGAAGATTTTGCCTGTTTTGGAGGAAAAAACACAAGCACATAAGTCCATTTCAGACGTTCTGGATGCTAAAATTCAAGAGTTTATTAAAGTTCGAACAGCAGCGTGTCCTTGAATTGTTGATGTATGCTTTTTAGGTTCCTTTTCATAAAGATCCATACATCTCATTGTTTTTCTGTGCTTACAGCGAACATTCATGCTAGATTGTGTATTCCATTATTGACAACTCAGAGTGTGTTTTGTGGTCCGGAACATAGTGTCTCCTCAGAATGTCAATATCTGGAAAACTAAAAGCCTTGTAAATACATATTCTGGTTTTCTGCTTTAAATGATTTTTAAGCTAACTCCCAATATGTTGGTATCAACAATTCAGCTGAAAACTTATAAACAATCTTACTTTACTTCAGGACTAGAGTGTTTGATTTTAACATCTAACTAGGATACTGTTAAGCATAATTAAATCCTTTAGGAGTGTCCTAAGTGAGTATAACACAAAGTCATGCGCATAGGTTTCATGTCACTTGGAAAATTTGATGTATGACTGCGCACTCATTTTAGTTTTTATCATGTTCACTTTATGAATACCTTTGTTGTTTTGTCAGTGTCTGGTACATATTTAAATATTAGTAATCGAAATTGACAGTTCTGAACATATCTCTATAATTTGCCCAGAAATTATCAGCTTTTAATTTGTTCGAAATATATATATATATATATATATATATATATATATATATATAGACTTTCAGGTTAAGCTTTATCCATTTTGCTTACTCATGAACTGTGATGAGTTATTAGTAATAGGCTTTAGTCATTTCTTGACTAGATCTGTGCTGTGGATCTTAGTGTAGGCCTAGCAGATCACTTGCGACCAATTATACGTATTGTGGATTAAGTTATCCAGAGCAGAATCCTGCAAAGCGCACATGTGTTCAGCAAACACAGGTTACATCAGACAATTAACCATCTTGTTTGGTGTATGAGACATTCAGTTAAAACTATGAATTGACCATTAAATACCCAGCTAGTAGTAGCCGGATTTTTCTGAGAAATGCGTGTTCGTCAATCCATTTCTTACTACGTATCTGATGTATTCGGTGAGTAAGGTTCCTCAGCCTAAGGCAACCCAGCTATGTAAGTTGTTCAGCCGACAGTTCCATGTTTGTTCCCGGCAAATCAACCTTTTGTAAGGAATCACCACTTTGTTGTCGCACATACGCCGAGAAAGATATTGAATGACCTAACTCATCTTCGAACATGAAATCTATTGAAGGATAGCATGTAATGACGGGATGTGCAGCATCTAATTCAACATTTACCCAAATAGCAAATGTGTTGTCCATATATCTTTATGCATGGATGAAGTCGACTAGTGATCGAACTAAGTTAATTGCTTTCCACTTTTGACATAAGAAAGTCTACTAATAATCTGAATGGTTACAAATTAATTGCGCATCAAGGTTATTCCGTCATACAATTAGGTGGTTATACCATTCGGTTTATCGATTGTTCAGGAAAGTCTGTTGACTTAATAGCAAGTGCCTGAAACTTAATTCGCATCAATTCAATAATTTTACTTTAGTTAACTTCGCAAAGTGAAAGCTACAGTCGGTATCAAGAACCAGTCTTTCGCGTTAGATAAGTACTGCTGTTGTTTAAAGACTGATGCGCTATCAATGAAATTATCTATTAAATTTTTTTAAAAAGTGAAAATTATCCATTGGTAATTAACGTCTTCGAATTCCGAATAACGATTGTAGTGTTTCCGTTATGTATGCCAAATTAATGTTCGAATTCCATTCACAGTATATTATGAAAATAAAAACAAAGATACTCTTCTGCTCATTCTTTTTATTTTCAACTTATCCCCGAACTTCGATGACAACTCGCAGCTTTCTCCATAGTTTGAAGAGATTTTGGGGAAAAACCTCAGACCAAAGGTCTTGTTCGTAATTTCCCCAAGGTTTGGGGTGAAATCTGTGTTGCGCAATTTTCAGAGCAGACATTCTTTTTAAGCCTCTTACGACGAAATTACGTCCAATCATAATAATTTTTAATATGATAATTCAGTTCAGTCGGCACAACAGTACCAACGTTTAGGTCTTGTTATAGTATGTCAAATAGATGTGAGACAAAAAGCCGTCGGTTCCACATCATTTTTTCATGTCTTACGCAATGCAGTTGGTTAGCTTATACTGTCAGATTTCGATTCCTGCCACTGTCCAGCCTGACTACAACGAATTGTTTCTTTTAGACTAATAATGTAGAACGTAATTAAAGATGAGAGACGAGTGATAGCCATCAGACTGTCAAACTTGATGGGCCACCCTCGATCGGCCTTTTACAGAAGGTTGAGGGAGTTAAGAGCCGAGTTTCAGAAGTGCTGTACTGAATTAGAACACAGGTGAGGATAACGGACTATCTATTTAGCACAGAAATACAAAGTTACTTGGTAAAATTAAAAAAAACAACATTACTTACGCCTGTTACCCCTCGTGGAAGAGCATAGGTCGCACACCAGTATTCTCCATCCAACCCTGTCCTCGGCTATCCTTTCCAGTTCTTTCCGCTTAACATTCGTCCTTTTCATATCTGCTTCTATTTTCCAGCGTAATATATTCCCTGGCCTTCCGCTTCCCTGTCGGATTCCAACTTAGGGATTGCCTCATGATGCAGTTTGGTGATTTCCTCAATGTATGTCCTATACACTTCCAACGCCTTTTCCTAATTTCCTCTTCAGCTCGAAGCTGGTTTGCCCTCTCCTATAAAACGCTGTTGCTAATAGTATCCGGCCACTGAATGTTGATCACTTTGCGTAGACAACTGTTTATAAATACTTTTACCTTCATGACGATGGATGTAGTAGTTCTCCAAGTTTCAGCTCCGTACAGTAGAACTGTCTTGATGTTGGCATTGAAGATTGTGACTTTGACATAGAATGACAGTTGTTTCGAGGTCCATATGTTCTTCAATCGTAGAAATGCGGTCCTTGCTTTACCAATCCTTTTCCTTTACGTCTGCATCCGATCCGCCTTGTTTATCAATGACGCTTCCCAGGTACGTGAATTTTTATACCTCTTCCAGAGTTTCTCCATCAAGTGTGACTGTGTTGGTGTCGCATTTGAGAATCTTGCTTTTTACTTTGTGTATATTGAAGCCTATTGATACAGGGACTACTACTACATTAGTTGTCTTCGTGTGTGTGGGATATGAGGGCTACGTCATATGCGAAGTCCAAATCGTCTAATTGATTCCGAGATGTTCATTGTATTCCGTGCTTCTTGTCAGATGTCGAAGTCTTCATAATCCAGTAAATCACCAGAAGAAAGAGGAAGAATAGACAGTCTTGTCTGGCTCCGGTCCCTACTGGAATGCATCTGTCAGCTGTCCTTCATGCACGACTTGCACTCTAGTCCGTTGTATGAGTTCCGGATAATGTTGACAATCTTCTGAGGAACTCCATAGTGTCAAAGAAAGTTACTTCCCATTCACACTGTCAAACGCCTTTTCGTAGTCCATGAATCTGATATGTAGTGACGAGTTCCATTCAATTGATTGCTCAACAATGATCATCCTTAGTGTCGCAATTCGGTCTGTACACGACCGATCCTCACGTGATCTAGCCTGTTGATCTCAAAGTTGGTCGCCTTTATGGTGCTGACAACAGTGTGATGCCTCTGTAATTCTCACATATGTTCAGATCTTTCTTTGGTATCTTAGTGAGGTATCCTTCTTTCTAGTCCGTCGGCACTTGTTCCTCCTCCAGAATCTTCTTGAATAGAGGGTGAAGCATGTTTGCTGTTTTTTCAATGTCTGACTTCAGTGCTTCAGCTGGTATATTTTCAGGTCTTGCTGCTTTCCCATTCTTGATTTGTCTGGTGGTCATCCTGATTTCTTCCGTCGTTATTGGAGTGACATCTATAGGGAAGGTCTGTGTGTGCTGCTTCGATGTCCGGTGGATTCAATGAGACTGGTCTATTCAGCAGCTCCTCGAAGTATCCTACACACGGTTTCCTCCGTTCGTGAATCTCCGTGATTGTCTTTTCTTGCTTGTCCTTGACTGGTATCTCTGATTTACTTTATCTGCCTGATAGTTTCTTCGTTGTATCTTGTATTTGTTTCATATTTCCCTCTCTTACAACTTTTTCCGCCGTCGTTGCTAGTTCTTCAACGTATTTCTGCTTGTTGACTTTAATGCTCAATTTCACTTGCTTGTTTGCTTCTGCGTAGTCTGCTTGTGCTTTGTCTTTCTCTGCTCGTGTTCGACTCTTGCTAATTGCTGTTTTCTTGTTCTTCCTTTCTTGAATCTTGTCCAGGGTTCCCGTAGAGACTCATTCCTTATGATGATGCTTCTTGCGATCCAAAACCTCCTGACACGTTGAAGTTGGTGCTTCCTTGATCCCTTTCCAGTTGTCCTCCATCGTAGTTTGTTATTCTTTCAGTAGATCCTGTAAGACCTGGAACCTGTTGTTGAGAGTTATCTTGAGTTGGTTAAGTTTGTTTATATCTCGAAGGAAGGCTGTATTAAATATTTGTAATGTTGTTTCCCCGGTTGTACAGTGTTTCGTTAGCATCAGTTGCAGCTTTGCCAAAACCAGTTGGTGCTCTGAAGCTATGTCAGTCCCTCTCCTGGTTATCATATCTTCCATTGTCCTTCGAAGTTTTTTATTGATACAAATATGATCTATCTGGTACTCTGTGCTGTGGTTCGCCGATCCATGTAGCTTTGTGTATGCGTTTGTGTGGAAATATTGTGCCACCTATAACCAATTTGTTGAATGTACATAGATTTGCAAATCTCTCCCTATTTTCATTTCTCTTCTAGTTAATGTCGTCTCATTATATCTTCATATCTTGTGTTGTCCACTCCGACTTTAGCACTTAGATCTCCCATCAGGACAGTGAAGTTTTTTGTTGGAGCACAACTGATCTTTATTGTCGTCGTTGCTATCATCGATGGATGCATAACTCTGGTTAACATTCATTGTGATTCCCTCCTTCTTTGTTTTGAATGATGCTTTGATGATTCTGGATCCGTAAGATTCCCATCCCACAAGTGCATTTCGTGCCTCTATGGACAGCATTAGAGCAACTCCGTGAGTGTGTGGAGCATTTTCCCCTTCGTGACCGGAGTACAGCAGCATCACTCCCTTACCTATCTCTTTTGTCCAGCTTGTGTCTAATGGATTTCACGGGTTGGGACCGTCAGTAACTTTAGAAGAGATACAGGTGGAGTTTAAGTTAGAAAAACTATAGTCTAGTACTTCATTTTCAAAATTTTATTGAACTGTCTCAGGCCTCATTGTTTTTGCATTTCCATACCAATTGCTTTCTGTGTTTTTTTTCTCAATCATCTGCTGCTAAATATTCTATTCCTGAGTCACGATATATACTACTTATGGCGATATAAGTAACTCACAACACACTCTTCCCCCCCCTTTTAGTAAGCCGTTCACGTAGTCTTTCTGATCGCTGTACCGCTGTCTTTTTTGATGCTGTTCTGGACTCGCAATCACGATGCACTTGAAAGGATCTCTGCAGGTGGCTGGCATTTACACGCTTCTGCTTGTTTTCTCTCAGGACCGTGTAAACCAAGCCACGTTTCTTCGTGATAATGTACGGTCTTTGCCAGTTCGGGACCGAATTCCCTGACCATAGTCAGTTAATT